GGCACCGCGAGCGTCAGAACGACGCTGCGCGCACGCCCCTCCCCTTCCCCCCCAGCCGCAGCCAGCCCACACGCGCCGTCGATCACGTGCTCCTTAATGTAGTTTAGGAAGTCTACGAAGAGGTCCTCTGCGGAGATGAATTCCTCTACGGCGTCCTCGCCGCTTCTGTTCTCGTAATAGAACCCAAGGCGCCGCTTTTCCGCAGAAGCGTGCGCCGCTGTGTGCTCCTCTTCTATAGGGCAATGGGAAGCATACTTGATCCGAGAGGCCTCATCAACCGACTGTAAAAGTTGTCGCGCGACTTCTTCCTTTTGCTTGTCGTGTGAACGTAAGGCATCCGTGAGAGCTGCTGCCGCGGCAGTGTATAAAAACAAGTAAGGCACGACCTTTTGCGGCTTGCGAGGATATACCTGCACAGCGTTGTCGCCGAACAATATCTCATTCTCAGTTAGAGCAGCCACCACTGGAGTGCGGCGGTGGCCCGCCGCGTTCGCAACAACTTTTATTGAAGTGGATGCGCTTGAGCTTGTAGGCGACCCCGTCTGATGCGTCACCGCTACAAAGGCACTACAGGCGCCTAAGGAAATAGAAATCGCATACATTGTCGTCTTTTGGTGTAATCACTGAGCGGCAATTCCCTATTTTAAAATATTGTCCCCTTTTCCGCTGATTTCTCTTAACTATAGTTACGTGGTTCTACAAAAGGTAAACTAAACGGAGGAGCGAGAGTAAAGTGGACAAGTAAACCAAAAAGTTAGTGGGAGCCAGTACATGTTATGAAAGTAAGCCATGGCTCATGGGAAAGGAGGGAAAAACTGAAACGGCTGCTAAGAAGCGTGACAATCCACCAGAAAACAAACTACTCCTTTACAAGTTACCTTCAAAGAAGCACTTTTGAATACCCATTATGCTGATCAATACTACAGATCTTCAAGATGTGAAAGAAATCTGAAGAAAGTTGGATAGTGTGTTGTTTGAGTTAAGGGTCATCTTCGGTTTTGGTTATTTCAAGTTCACGGGTGATGGTATGAAAAAATTCACCAATATTGTTTCAACATGTTTTGTGTGTGTTTATTGTTGGGCACCGCACTTCCCACCGGGTAAGACATCCTTACAGATGCTTCTTGTGCACTTAGTTCAGTAAAATGAGTAAGAATTTGCATGAACCTCAGTTTAAACTCATATCAAGCGTCAGTCGCAGATTTTGCACAGGGTGGCTATAGGATTCGATAAAAAACCGCAAGATGCTCACGGTACCGTACGAACACGCGTTATATTCGTTGATGTCGAGTCAATTGCTGCCACAATAATTTATGCGGAAAGGAGGCAACCGATGTGATCAAGGAGATGCTGCTTCTTCACAAAGATAAGCCCGTGATAGGGATTCAGCTTATCTCGTAGGCACAGTAGACACAATATATCGTCTTGCCAAAATTCCAAAGCGGACACACTTTCACCCTTCCAAGATTTCTCAGGTGTAAACCACTAAACCATTGGCACGTCCTTCACTTAGATACTATGTTTCTTTCTCTTCCAAATGTCAGTATATCCTCTACATCAAAAAAGAAAAAAACTTCTCGTGGTTCTGCTCAATCCATATTTTTGTCGATTATTTTTAAAGCACATATTCTTACAGGGTCAGATCCTGCTTCAGTTCCTTTTTGAATGCCATTAACTCGAAAGGGTGAAAGGAACAATTGGTCAACCACAATTGCCTTGCCGAAAGCAGACCGCGCAGCTAGTCCTAACACGTTGAATTATCGCATGCAAACGTGCGCTTGGGCCTTTCATTCCCCATAATTGGATTTGAGCGTCTCTTTCAAAGTTTAATAATTTAAATGCAGCTGACAAACGATCGATTTTATTTATTGGTCTTTGGTTTTCGTATGTTGGGGGCTTTGCATCCAAGAAGGCTCTGAATGGGCCGAAAAAGAAATCCCTCTTCACAAGAGAATGGTCGGATACTGTCCGATCTTATTCAATTCACTTAGAATCGCATTTGTATCGTTGATATTCTTATATGACGCCAAGCTGCTAAGGGATGATCCGGCAAGTTGAAATGCGCTCCCTAAACTAGCTCGAAGAGAGATACAATGGTAGTGATGGAAAGGAGGATTTTGATCGAATTAATAGGCTTTGTTTCCACCCTGAAGAATCACTGCACACTAGTTTCGATGTCAGTGTATGGGTTAGTTTGAAAATACAAGATTCGAAAATCCTTCACCTATATGGAATTTCAGAGTTAAAGTTCTATAATGCGTAATCAAAAAGATTAATGAGAAAAAAAAGTTACTATGATGCATTGATATCCTGATCTTGAGATAATATCAAGGCTTCAGGTAACAAAAACTCATACTTTTATCTCTAAATCAGCAGCGAGAGTGACTACCAGTGGAATTCGTTTATTTCGCTGATGGAGTATTTCTACTTGTCGCACACATACATGTCACCATGCTAGAGAGGTATTTCATGCTTTGAATAATTAATGTGGATTTTAGAAAAGCAACTTTGTAGCACTGTGGGCCGAGCATTGATACAAAACGACCAAAAACGTATCCGACGAGATGGCGGGTTAAAGAAATAAAGCTGATGTGTCACGCCACGCCACGACATTAGGGTGCGTTTATTTTTCGCGGTTATGCTTATGTTTTTCCTTTCTATGTTTTCTGTGCTCCTTATCTTTATGATGCTTCTTTTCTGATTTTTCCTTTCGATGACGCTTTTTATTTGTCCCTTCATCATCGTCCGAGGCACTGTTGTCTTCACCAGAGCCAGAATCGTCTTCCTCATCTTCATCGAGATCATCGTCGTCATCATCATCATCGTCATCATCATCGCCAATGCCCGCACCTTCTTCTTCAGCAGACCACCCAATACGTTGTACCTTAACCTTATTTCCAAGGTACTGCATTAGGCTATCCTTCTCAGTCTTGTCAAGGCCTGAAAAAACATACTTGTCCTTTTCTGTAAGAACAGTGATCTGAAATGTTGCGGAACCACTCTCAGACTCGTTCAAGGTCACTGTTGTTACTTCCTTATAAGGTATTCTTGTGGCTGGGCGATGCAAGAAGAGAAAGCCTCCACTCACGATGTAAAGCAACCCCTCTGCACCATGAAACAGGCAGCGCATGCAGGACTGCTGGTGCTGAGTCAGGATAGTAGTGTATTCCTTGTTAATACCACCATACGCTGGCACTTTAGCAATGGCTTTAAAAGTGCGCACAATGATGTCACACACACGTCCACTCATGGAAGGGACCAACGGATAGTCCGCTCCGTTTGCTTGTTGTGCGAGCCCAAGCACGCTATTGATTTCACTCTGCGTTTTGAGTTCACATCGCCATGCATGACCCTCGTCCAACACGAGCCTCGGCGGACACGAAATGACAAGATTTGCATAGGATGTTGAACGTATCTTGACGGGTTTCTTGAGAACAAGAACAACGTACTGCGCCATGGAATCTGCGTCATCGCAAGAGGCCCTCGAGAAATACGTTGGCACATCACAGAGATACAATTGCTGAAGATCAGTTATAGGAAACGAGAGGATTCCACTCGTTGTACCTTTCCTTTTGTCTTCTAAGACAACATTATGATTAGAAATAAGAATTTTATACTTACCGGACGGATACGATAGCTGGATATCATCAAATATTGCCACTAACACCTCATCACCGCGCGCGCCGTTAGCACCATTCATCGTTGCAAGAACAAGCAGGTTATTATCCTCACTACCTGGGTGATGAGACTTAAGAAACTGCTGCTGATGCTTTTTCATCTGCCCCTGAAGCTCTGACAGGATCACCCTCCCAGCTTCTTCGGTTCGCTCGTATCCAACACAAACATCAGGAACAGCAAAGCGCATCGATACCAGTTCCAAGTCGCCGCTTGGAACAGCAACGGCAGACGTTTTCGGCCGCATAGTTATACTCACATCATTTTTTGTCGTCCCAGACGCGCTAGCGATCGCAGAAATCGGGATATTCACAATAGGACGGGACACGTATTGTGGGGATCCCTTTTCTTTTCCTTTGGGAAGTGAGAGCAACTGCATAAACATTTCAGATGACGCGTCATTTTTTTGTTCATCCTTAACATTTCCATCAGAAGTAGCGAACTTCAGTTGGCCCCAGTTTTCAAGAGGCCAAGCCATTTCTCGCGAGTATGTTTTTCTTGCTTCATCAAGTAAAAGAGAAACGCGGTGAAAATGTAACGTAAAGATATATATGACATTAGTTATAACTTTACAAATCATTTAAAACCAAGCAATGTACTAAGAATTAAGGAGCCTCGTCCGAGTGAATAATACACAAATACACTCTATCAAGATCTGGGTGTATGGGGGAAGGGGAAGGAGAGTGGAATGCACAATCCACAGGATATAACAACAAAGAGCGAAGGGTGTATTGAATCTCTACCAAATGCGGATAGACAGGTGCTAAAAATAGACCTAATAATTTTGAAGAGCAAGCATTAAAAACTAACAACATTAGTCTAGTTACAGCTCAAGAAATATAAGCGCAAAGCCGCAAGAGTCTTGTATAGGTGTCATGCCAAGAGTCCAGAGAAAGAAAAGATTTAAAATTAGAAAAAACAAAGGGCAGCATAAACCGCAACCACACCAATTATCACACCAGACCAGTTAATGATAACTTGCCTCTCGCATTGCATTTTAGCCTCTAAAAGACCGGGGGGGCGCAAAAGAAAATTTCGTATCATGTTGAAAGGAACGTCACTGTTGTTTCGCCATGGAATCTTTGTAATCTGCGCCTTGCTCAACTCTACAAAAGGGTCTGCAGCCTCCACGTGTCTCCTGTATGAGCTTCCAAAAAGCGATCTGATTGCCCAAGAGGGAAACGACAGCCATTTAAAAAGGCTTCGACTTTGATATAACGGCATAATATACCAGTAGCTAATTCGATCAAAAATATTGAATAAACGCATCGACAAGGCGGAAAGTTCCCGAGATGCGTAAGAATCATCATCCATATACACAAAGCGCCTAGTATGTGGGGAGTCAACCGGGTCGACCTTGAAAAGCGTAGGGAATGCGGCTAGTTCATCCAACCACCTTTCCTTCACAATGACTACAGCTGCATCAACATGATCTGGATCATAAATGTTGCGACATGCATCCTTGAAAGTGATATCTTGCACTGGTAGAACAAACTCATCGTCCTTAAAAACCACTTCGTCGGCGGGCAAGTCCTCATCGAATTGATTAAAGTTGTGTTGAGTGTAGCTCGTTGATGGCATAGCATTCAACCAGGACTCGCGAGGCAATGTCGTTGAGACGTTGCATTGGAGAAGCTTGTGCTCCACGGTAGGCCACAATTTTGGTCTCCTTGAAAAGCACAGCTGCCCTTTGAAAATTGGGAGATACCGCCACTCGGAAAGATTCGCAGCAGACGCAAAAAGATTGTCTAGATAGTCTGATGATAATCCTGATGCGTAGCTACCCCTACTCTGCGTGCACGAGCGTGCTGAATGGAATGCCTTCAAGAATTGTTTCCTCTGTTCTTCAGTAAGAGAAGCCATTAGATGGAGATCCCAAAGGTCTTGGTGGTTATCCCAAACTTGCAGTTCCACCAGGAGGTTACGAAACGTTCCTAGGGCCGTATTGATAACTTCTTCAGCATTCGATACGCTTGATTGTGCAGGACTATCAATAAAAATGTTCGAAAGCAACGACACAATATCCAAAACAGCATGATTCACGCCGCTCAAGTGCTTTACCTTTAGCTCTTTGAACAGCATAGCTTTATGTGCAGCGGCAGCAGCATCCTCTCGTCTTTTGTACTCACTTGACTCTAGAGGATTAAGGAACAGAACGATGTCTGCATATCGCCGCAAAAAAGTAACATGCAGAACGTCATCCGTTGTAAAATGAGGGTTCAAAAGTGCGCGTTTCATATCATATGACTCATGTATGCTATCAGTGGCACCACCGCTATTCCACTGTTGCGATTTGCCCGCGCTATAAAGATAGCCCTCATAGTCCCTATTCAAGAGGAGGAGAGAGTTAACCCGAGAAAAAAGTTCTTCGATTAGGTTGCTGACCTTGAGAAGTTCATTTGAAATTCGAAGGCACTGCCTTCTTTCATTCGCCTCATCTAGTGTGACGTATTGCGCGATTTCGTAGTCATTAAGAAATGTCTCGGTATACCTCACACGTCCTTTTAATGCACATGAATCCCCTTCCCGTTCGAGGTAACCTCCTTGGTGTGTACTAAAGAAGGCAAAAACGCGAAAGACTCCTAAAAAGGTTGAACACAAAGTACGGGGAATTCCTATAACGCGAGTAAACATGAAGTGTTGAACAGGTTCTTTAGATTCGTGGGCCGTCCTTGGCACTAATTCCACACGAGCTGCACCTCGATTAAAAAACACGGATGAATCTGCCGCGTAAAATCGCTTCGAATCAAATGATGCCTTAGATTCTGCGCTACTCGGGAGTGAAAGTGAACGTTCCATATGCCCCTGCCTTAGATCGATCATCTCTAACTGCAAATCAACATACTTGCGGAGTAGTTCTTCCACAGCCTTGTCTAACGATTTTAACCACGTGCTGCTGTCTTTCAACGGGAAAAATGCATCCCCATGGGGTTGTTGGGGAACACGAGTGCTAGTATGCATGTTGAATTTCTTGTAGTTTTCCTTAGCCATCTCCAGTTCCTCAAACAGGCGCCACGTTTCTAAAAATGGATTGTGCACAGTGCGTCCGGTAGAAATAAACATGTGAACCCCCACGATCAAAACCAGAAACAAAATCAGCATGTATAAAATGAGAGATGGCCTCGACAATAAAACGATCATATAATTGTAAAGTACGGCGGAAATTTTTTGATTTGGTCGTCTGGACACCTTTTCTGCCAGATCCTGTGAGGAGTTATTTAGTTGGACGGGTGAAATTTGCTTTGTCGTGAATGGCGACGGCCGCCTATCAGACGCTGGATATGCGGTGAGGGTGGGCACCTTGGACATTGAATTATGCCTTACTTGCTTAACTGAAGAAAGACTCTGAGGTTTGTCAGCCTGAGGAGGTGGTAGCATATTACTTTTTCTATCAGAAGTAAGATCATCCTTGAACTCTTTGCTGTCTTCTTCACCTTTTTCAGGTATAAACGAATTTTGACTCATACTCCTGGAAGTCTTCCAGTAATGTTTAATGTGCTCTTCCACACCAAGAAGATCATGAAAGCCGTAGAAAATATATGTCTTTGATGATCTCCGTTTCTTCATAATTTCGGCATCATCTTGAATGGAAACGGGTAGCCGATGCAGTTTAATGACGAGCACGCTGGTTGCGCTGTTTTTTATGTACTTGGTATCCAGCGAAATGCTCTTGACGTTAGACCACTTCAAGTTTACCCTAAATAATGAAGAAGTAAAGTAAAAATCATTCTCTGATATGCAAAGGAATCCATTATAGTTCTGGCAGACACAAGAAAACTTGTACATCAGAAAACAATGGTTGCGTCGTCGGGTTTTCACTAAATGGCTTTAATACTGACGATGCTATGCGTAACGAGAGCTATTGAATATTAGTGCTTCTTTTTTTGTACTAATCCTTACTGTTTTCATGAAATTTTTTGAATGATGTGTCTGGATACCAGAGCGGTTCTCCGTTATTTTTGTTTAAGATTAATGAATCCTTTAATGCTAATGTGGTCTATGTCTTTTGCCTATCTATCTATCTATATATACATATATATATATATATATATATATGTATGTATATAGATATAAAGGGAGAGATGTATAGATCTGTATTGAAAAACGAAAAGGAAGCATAGACATAAGGGCGAGAGTGATAACTGCATCCAAAAATTTCTCAAAATTTACAGAAAAAACGTCTGGAAAATGTGGTTACTGCTATTTTCCATCTACCATATTGTGTTCTTAATCTTTTTCTTGTCGTAGAGTAACCAATTGGGTAAAAATAAAGTACATTGAATTAATAGAGCAAAGTATTTAAAAAGTCAAATCCATTTCTTTTACCAAATGGCATACTCATTGCAAAAAAACTTCCCCTGAGGGAAAGTAGCTTGTATATTGCCACTGTTCTGTTTTAAATCCCTTTTCCCCACATTCAAAGTACTTTAGTCCCGAATCTAGCGTTCTTGGCGATATATATATATATATATATTCCCAAAGGTTACAATCGTTTCCCGATTAGTCTCTTTTCATATACATCGCATGCTAAAACAGAAAACATAATGGACAAGTGAAAGAAGGAAATACATTATCTTTTCTCCATCCCTCCCCCGCTCAAAGCCACCTATCATAAATTATTTTTCGCATCATAAAGATTATCTAGGTGTGAGGACGACATTCCTAATTCAACTTCAAATGTTGATAAGTTCATACTTCATAGAATTCGTTCAGTTGTTTTTCTTATAAAACAAAAAAGTCGAAACAAAGAGAACACACAATCTGAACTCTTTTTTATTTTTTTCTTACCTTTCTTAAAATAATAATTCTACGATTCCATTCCGTGGCAGCGAAACAATAGGTGTCTATTATGAGCCACTCCTTCAGTGCTTGTTAAGCGAGCGGACAAAAAAAATGAAGGCTTACTTCACACTGCTGTTTTTTAGCCTGCTTTAAACAGAAGAATAGCTGTCTGACCAAGATAAAAATAGATGAAGCAATGAGCCTCATGGGTGACGTAGCTGCCATAATTGCGACCCACGATGCAATGCCAAGTCGGCTGATATTTCTTATCGAACTCCTTTTTAATAAATGCCGCTATATCCTTCTCCACGTTGAACTTTTCTTGTGCCTGAAGTGCAACTTCAATAACATCAGCCTGCATGTCCTCGGCCATGTCGACATTTTTAATAATAGCTTTGGGATCGGCAGTGGGCATTCTCAAGAACCTTAGGTTAATACAAGTCAATAGATATACACGAAGGTTGTAGAGTAGGAAACCAGGATATCTTTAGTCGTTATTTTTGGTAAGAAAATTAAGAAGTCATTAAAGAAAAGTAGAGGAATCAAAAATTGGAAATGTTAGACTAAAAACAGTACAATAATGCATTATTCTATACAAGCGTAAAGAAGTTGATAGCATCTTGACTTGCATTTTTATGGGTGAAGTTTGGTAAAGTGAACAGAAACAAAAACGGAATATAGTAATGTCGATTCATTTGCAACTCTATATCCTCTTCTATATCTATCTATGGTACTACTGTATCTGCATAAAATTATTACGGGTTGTTCCCAGAGCATAACAGTGGCTGTTATGAGAGCTTAAAATACTAGAATAGTGCTCGATTAACCGAAACCAAATCTGAAGGAACACCATTTGAATTATTGAATTTGATGGGAGGGTGGTGGCTCTCAATGCTTTCATCTCCCTCGAACACATTGAGAGAGTCAAACGTATCGACGGGACCACTCTCGATGTCATCATCCACAGCAAGAGAAATTGACGATGGCACTTCGATATGCTCAAGTGCGCTCAAAAATGCGGAATCACCTTGCTTCCCGTTGAGTATATGCGATGTTGCTCGATCAACAGAGGCAGTATGTCGATGGTCGGACACACTATGCACCTGATCTATGATTTTCGATAAAGAATCTCGTTTCTTAGAACAAGCAACTAAAGCAGGTCCGGGTGCGCTCACAAGAGTCGAAGCCTCAAAGGATGCTGTGTGTATAGCAGGATGCAGTGTGTCGTCCTCCTTGAAAGCCTGAGCACCAGTTTGCTGCTGTGCCAACTGTCGATGTCGAATCGCTGCCGCCGCCTCAAACAGCTCCGTAAGTGAAAGCGTGCTAAGATCCTGTTCGGCGAGACTGCGAAAGTCCACGGCATCTTCATTCACCACCCTGCTGGCTGCCGTGATGGAAGCAAACCCAGGCGAAAGCTCACCCCCCTCCGTCTTGCGGTCTAATGAGGGTGCCGCCTTGGAAGGGTCTGCTAGGCAAATAGCCTCACACAACTGCCGGCGTTGGTCGGGAGATATGCTGCAACAATAGCGTCGTGCGGCCTTTTCAGTTTCCTTATTCTTCTGTTGAGGATAAGATCGCAGATAGTGACGGGATCCATCTTCCTCCATGTCGCTTTCGCCGGCGGCGGCGATAAGTTCCTGACTAGCATATCTCCCGCCTGTTCCGCCGTTGTCTATGTGAAAGCGACTAGTACTGAAAGCCAATGGATCCTCGCTTTTTTGTTTGTGTAGTTTCCTTTTGATCGCTGCTTCACGCAGCACCACGCTTCGAACTTGTCTTCTGTTTTCATGAAGAGGTCGCGTGTTGCCCCGGACAGGGGAAGCTCCTGCAAGGGCGATGTGTTTCTCTAGGCGTCTTTCTCTTTTCTCCAGCGCCTTCTCTCTTTGTTGAATACGACTCATTGCCTCGCGTTCGCGCATGGTGGAAAATTGCGATTCAATCGCCTGCACGCCGTACGCTAACTCACGTCGGCGCTTTTTGAGACGCTTCTTGAGTGCGAGTAAACTAGCCTGAGTCAAATCTCGCTCAGCTCGAAGCTGAAGGATTTCCTTATGTTGATCTGTGATGTGCTTCCGATCGGCCACAAGCTGAGATTGCAACTCTTTGCTGTGTTCCGTGTAGCTACGACAGCGTTTCTGGCTTTCAAGAAGCTCCCTCTTCAGCTCCTGGGACCTTTTGCACAACGCTTCATAAGCGCCTCCGTCGCTATCATCATGATGAAGCGATGTGAACGACCCCGGCTCCCCGACCATAGCTCCACCTTGCTCAATATTAACACGGTGTTCGCGTCCCATCAAGGTCTCCTGGGCTTGCCTGGGAAGTAATGTTGTATTTTCCCCACTCTGCAACGGTGCGAGCTCGCTTATCAAAACTCGAGTGTGGAGCTGTGGGATAACCTTGGAGGCGATTCGGTGTAGGCCTTCTCCAAGCCGAGTTTCATCAACGTCGGGTGCAACCATCTGTTTTGCCAAGGCCTTTGTGGGTTGAGAAGTAAACGCAGAGGGCTGAGAATCGCGGGCACTGCTTAAGATTTCCAGCGTGCTTTGCGTTGCGTTGATAATGGCCTCCTTACATTCTACAACATGAAGGTACCCATCAAGTAGCTTTAGGCTCGGGATCACTTCCAACAGAACGGAAGCATATACGCATGATCCAAGGTCGACAGTATGTTCCCTAGAGATTGAAAATGCCACATGCGCCTGAAGGGACTCCGTAAAAAGATTACTGTTGTTCTGAATGAGATCCTGGACTGCCTTACAAAGCGCCACATTCTGGCAAGAGGAGCCTTTGCTTGTGCCTTCTGATTCATGTCCATATCTATGGAAAGCAGGCCCCATGGAGGCTGATAGAAGCAGCGACACGATAATGTTGCCCATAACTGCGTGGTTTGAACCAAGAATGGTCTGTTTGATGGGGGACCCGTCCAGCTCCAGCCGCTGTAAACACGGTGCAAAAGGGTGGACTCCAGACAAGCCCACCAAATCGGTTACACCGCATCCTCGCAAGTTCAGTGTGTTCAAAAGAAACGGCGACGATGATGGCAAAGGCAAGACACTATCATTCTCAGACGTATAGCTACTGAATAAAAAACAGTTCACAGAAGCCAATTTTGCGTTAAAGGAAATATCCAGGTTTTCAACAGCACATATGTAGTTGTCATCTGTCCCTATCTTCAACACCGTGGGAAGTATACTCTGCCATATGTCCTCCATTGTATCACTCTCAGCAACACTCACTTCCAGAACATTATGTGATACATTCAGATGGCGTAGTTTTGGAAAGCGAGAGTGGTTGAAAAATAAACTCAACGTGAGTGGACACGCATGTCTCAAGTATCGGATATAGAGGTCCGAAGATGTGGAAGCTGTCATCGCTGCCGACGGAAGCGCCCCATCATGAGAAATACAAGAGCAACATACAAAGCTGCTCAGGTGATTGTGGGACACATCAAGAAAGACTAGTGTGGCAGGAAGCGCCGCTATCCAGGGTGCTACGCCCTCACAGTAGTAAACGCGCCTGTGCACGTCAGTGGGCTCAAATTGTGCCATTGTGGAACAAGCAGTTACCGAGGTCGTGCCGGCGCCTAGGACATTATGAGAGAGATCAAGCTTCGTCAAATTGCTGAAGGCCATATTGAGACCCTTGATTTCCTTGATTTGGTTCCTCGAAACAGACAGAGACTCGACAGCTGCCGTGGCAAACGCCTCCTCATCGGTAATAGCATCTTTGTCGAAATACAGTTCTGAGATATTTCTGCTGGATAAATCGATATCCATTTGAAATCGTGTCGCTACACCTTTTTTTAAGGCTCACTGTAATCTGGGTATGTCTGCTAAATAAAAAACGTCAAAAATTATACTGATAACCGAAACAAACAATTCCACGGGCGAGTATTGTACAAAACGTGAAACTAATCCGACGAACTATGCGGTAGAGGCCACAAAAATATACGGTGAACGAAATATTTGGAATGACAAAGTAGAATGATTCATTTGCATTGATGTGAGTTTCCATTTCAGCTAATTAACTATATTACTGAAGCTAAAAACAAACGCAATCTTACGGAAGTCGATTTTCCAAATACTTTCTAAAATGCTCGCACAGTGTATTAGTCTTTAATAAATTGTAACAAGAGATCAGTTGCTATATAATCATAAAATACATATAAATTAAAAAGAAAAAAAGGTAATGCCCATGTACCAAAACGAAGGAATCATACAGAAAGAAAAAAATAGGGTAAAAAAAAAGGTCTAATCATAATGTATAGAACAAAAATCAATAGCAAGCTAGATTGACAATTTTTAATTAAGCGAAAAAGGTACAAGTCATACCGTTCTGATCTTTTTCCCTAGTATAGCAATAAGTGGTCACCGCTGCTGCATTAAAATTGCCCCTTTCGAGCTATTGTTTTCCTTGTTTTAGGCATATTTACTCCTCTGACTAACGAAGTGCGTATAAAATTTTATCATCAAATCAATGAAAAGAAACTTGGCGTCTATCATCTAGCTCACACCATTTCAGCGAGAGTATCTTCTATTAAACTCACTTGTGTAATGATGACAATGTGGGCCTTTATTATATAGCACCGGTGTATTTTCGCTCATATCATCACTATCCGAAGGAACGAGAACCGTGAACCCGTCATCTTGAGACTCATTTTTTAGCGAGTGGCCCTTAAGACTTCCGGCTATCCGCTCGGTCTTCGAAACAGACGTCATTGGGGTACTGTTAAGCGGCATCCGGTAGTCTGAGACTTTCCACTCGGTATTTTGCTGGCTCGTGCTATAAGTAGCGGCAGAACCGGTGGCTCTATCAGGGAAATACGCATTACTCTTGCTCCTCGCTTTAAAGGGATCCACGTTCCAACCGTTCGCTCTCAGAGTGTAGCTTTCCGGTGGTACACGCTGTACATTCTGATTGGCGGTATCTTCCTGACTTGAAAATAACTTTTCGGGTTGTCTAACGCGCTGCGGTTCCTTATAAGGCTGTGCTGCTAAGCCGTGAGCTTTCACGGTTTCCGTTTTTAGAGGGTTCGTGCTGAGTTCCTTTCCTTTAGGAGTCTTGCACAACGAATGGCAGGAGTTCATCGCCACTCCATCAAGCAAGGTGTTTCCGTTTTGTTTGTAGTTCGACGGACGGGTAGTCGTAGAATACGTCCTACCTGTGTAACCATTACGCTGAGCACCACTGAGATGCTGCATGCATTCGGTCTGAGACAGGGTGGTGTTTGACTGCTTCAAGGGCTTACTTGTACTATTTGAATTACTACTAAAGGCACCACTCTCCTTTGGGTCATACTGGACGCCGCTACTAGTAAGAGCCCGCCCATTATGAGGTGGGGCATCCGCCGTCTTTTTGTCTGCACGAGGGTGCAGGGCACTATCCACCTCCCTCTCTAACCAGTCGATAGAAGTAATCTCATCAGAGGCATATAATGACTGCAGTAAACTTCGCCGGACTCTCTGTGACAACTGTACTCGAGACGATAAAAGTTCAGACGGAGAGGACGAGTTCGTCATATTATCCGCACTCACCTTTCTGTCTGTTGAGCGTTGGAGGGAAGGCGGACGCAGTGTTGTTGGTAAGCTGCTAGTGTCAATTCCATCCTCTGGTCTCGGTTGTGCATGTATCCCATTTCGACAATTCGTGATAGACGGCCGGTGGGAATGTGTGCGGTATAAGAAAAGCGCCTGGCGTAGCTTAGCCTTACTCATATGCTTGTGAAAGAATTCCTCAGCCGCATGTGGCAATCTGTAGTTACCATCAAACACTGCACCTACATCCATCGCGCCTAGGAACGGGTGTGATAAAAGGTACAACAGCGGTCCATGCACAACACACTTAGAATTGCTAAGGGAAGGAAGAGCTATGTCCATAACTGTATCAAACCAATCACGATAGAAAATGATCCATGGTATGCCACTTACAACATCTATTAGAGGGAGACACGTTGCTGCATTCTCAATTTTGGTCTCCTCTGGATTTAATAAGGTCTCATCGGAAGTATCTATGCTCTCTCCAACACCCCCCGATGCCAGAACGGCGCCTATACGGCTCCCTGTTTCATTAGGCCCCATATCTGCAGCTTTTACATGTTTTGTTTCTTCCACCTTGCATGCCAACCAACTATCCAGCCCAGGAGCTACAGACTCTAGCACTCGACATTGCACGTAGTTACGAATCCGAGCACTAATGGCCTCAGAAGTAGGGTGAGCGCTGATCTCCTGGTTTGTGAGGACACCCTTCCAAAGATCAAGGATATGATCTGATGAAACAAATTTGCTATTAAGTGATGTGGGTGCAAGAGGCAAGGATTCAGCCCCTTTCATTCCTGGACACACGAGTGTACTGCCATCGGAAGCGAGCAGTTCAAAAGAAATAGAAAGGAGCGACCACCAGTCATCCTGCATGGTCCACGCACGACCTTCCATGCCAATTTCATCACTGGCCATAGCCTCAAAAACGTACATTGGTGGAACATACTCCAGTACGCCGCACTGTTGTCGCTCATAAGTCCAGGCAGCGGTGTGCACACCAATGCCGGGGACGAAAAGCGATAAGCTCTTGCTGGTGATGCATCTTCGGCTGGAACTGAAAGTCCCCGGAGAGGAATTGTCGTCAGGGCAGGAATCCCCTCGTTTCATAGCGTCAAACGTCGGCGCATTGATTTGGACAAGAACACGGTGCGTAGAGCAGGGACCAAGAAGGATGCCTTTGCCGTGAAGAGCTGCAATAAGAAGAAGCAACTGTACAATAAGAAGCCGCACGATTTGAAGTCGTGCTTCCATCGCATCCAAAGCTTGGCGGCCACTACTGTGCAGTGGGTTTAAGATAGCGTGTATAAAATCTTTTAATGAAATAACCGAAGTGTGGTAATGAGCCTGCTTCAGCAAAGCATGGCATTCAATGATTTTACGATGTTCAGCACCCTTTATGGACTGTTCCACCGCAAGAATCGACAACCATGGTTCTTGAAGGATGTAATAACACTCATTATCCGAGTAGATATCATAGATGCGAGGCTGAAACGGTAAGCGTGAGGTATACTTCAACAAAAGGATGGCAACCGTATCTTGAAGGTTTGACTCATCAACCTGCCCAGTCGCGTCTACGTACGAAGTCGCTTCGGAACCAAGTCCCATATAGACATACCGCCGAGGGACCACTTGCACGTCGAACATTTCCTGCGTTTTCTGGTTTAGTGCACGGTATACAATACCAAAAGGGGTATAACCCACAATAGCGTCCTGCTCATCACCCTCAGTTCCACCAAAGCATCTACTCTCCATGAAAGCTCTGCAATGTCGCTGTAGAAATACTGAATTGGTATCAAAAGTAAAAGTCTCGCTGAGCGCGCCGGCTCCCCACCTGCTATCATTGACTTTTCTCCCTTTCGTTGGATCTTCTCCACTCGTGTATTTTTCTATAAAGAGATCATCGAGTTTTAAAACATCACAACCCTTTAAGACATCCGGCTGCTCATCGCCTAGAGAAGTTGTAAGTGCGACAGCGGCGAAGTTCATACAGTGGCCTCGGTAAATACCGGAAGACTCCACGGAAGGATCTACCTTTTGAAATGAAGACGACCACGGTATTAGCGGAGATGTCGTCGCGCTTACACGTAGAGGCAGCGTTGTGCCCTTGTTGCTTCTGTCGCAGTCCCTCTCAGAAGGACGTGTAAGATTGACATTGCACTCAGTGGCCCAGAGAAGTGACATGTACGCACTCATAAAGGCGCTTTTCGTCGAAAAGGATAATGAAATAGCTCTCATCCGAAAGCCCTTCAGGATGGAGTCAGGAGAAACGGGTGGTAGCTCTGCCAGAACTTTATCATCACCACTTTTACAGCAGGTTCGATATGGAAGAATTATGAGAGTTAAATCAATGGTATACTTCTTGCGAGTGTTTAATGTGGCCAGTGTCAGCGTAAGAAACTGCATTCCCTTCGCTATACCATCAGAAACGGCATCTAAAGATACCCAATCGCCTTGTTCCCAATGTGGAATGTTCTCAAAAATATTTAAAACTCTCAAAGATTCCTTGCAGGCGCTCAACTCCATAGGGTCACTAATGATGCGTGGAGTTAAAGGAAACGATGAGATAGGTGGCGAGGTGAGCTGACCCAAGGTAGGACACCCTGGTCCACAACTGTAGGCAGTGGGGCAGGCACTATCTGGCAAGAATAGAAATAGCTCGTAGCGCCTCACATCTAGAACACTACCGTCGTTGTCACGCAAAGGCAACCCAGAGATGAGGCCACCACAGACTCGCATTACTCGTGCTGACAGTGATTTGGCAGCGCCACCAGAGAGATCATTTTCGCGCAATGGCTCGACAGTGCAAGGTAATTCACCCACCAACCTGACGGTATCGCCCAATGTGTTGGTCATCCTAACCCCATCCACTGGCCTGGACAGTAAGGATCGATATTGCAGGTAATAAGGAGAACCCGCCAGCACATTGGCAACTTTTACAAGCTTCGTGTTGTCAAGCTGCATGGGCTGCATGTTTAAATACCTCCCGAACGCTTCCTTAACCCCCTCTGGGCTACATAGCAGCTCGGTCACCTTATCATTTCCTTTATTAGCGTAAATTATACATTCACACCCATTGCCTACGTCGGCGAGAGGTCCAGTTTGGATAGGCTGCAGAATACGTACCATTTTTTCCGTTTCACGATGGGTATTGTCAGTCATCAGAGCACCCCACGCGCATCGGCATAAGACTTGATGATCATAAGGGTGTTTTGACCAGCTCTTATTGGTGGTCATGGTGCTCTCAATGTGTTTCTGGAAACATATGTTGCTAAAGTAGTACTCACTGGGGAAAATGAAGGTTTGGCGTCTCGGGGGCCCACTTGTGGGGGACTTCCCACATATTGCCTCCATGGGTACACTCACTTCATGGAAATCTTCCGGTGCATCTTCTTCAATGATATCCTCCGCTGCTTTCACTTCTATGCCATCCTCTGGTATACTTACTTCATGGTCATCATCCGGTGCAGTTTCCTCAACGATATCCTCCGGTGCCTCTGCTTTCACATCATCCCTTAGTCCCATAATTTTTTCTGCACGTCGAGAGAGACGGCTCGGCGGAGAACCTACCTTGCGCATCGAAGGGGAAGCATTTTCGAGGTGTTTTGAAATAATGACCCAACTTGTGTCTCCATCCGAATTGACAACTCTGCGCACGCACTCCGGGACGATGAGCACCATATTACCCTCATCGTCAAGATCATAATGAGATGATTCCGTCTTGAGTACAGAGGGGGACGGAATTACGGGTCGTCGCTGTGACGAAAAAATTTCCCTCCGCTCGGCAATAGCATCCTCGGTTAGATTGCCAATTGGAGAGGGAGATGAAAATTGAGGGGGATTTTGCATGGAGGGTCCAGAACTCCCATTGATGGCACGCGACGCGATGGAAGGGATATCTAAAGCGTCCAAGTTTTGCCAGGCTCTTGGCACTTGACTTTTAATAGGTAACGGAATTTCTGGGGCGATTAGCATTTCTTTATCAAAAGAATCTGGAGGTATGGAATGTTTGAAAGCTGCCTGCTGAGCGCGTTTCGAGAGTTTTTCTGGAGGCAACGCAATAGGAGTTCTAAAGAGGTTGAAACGCTTGCCTTCCGTATAGTTGAATATGCCCAAGGACCCTGCATGATCACGGCTTTCGTCCCCTTTAACAGTCTGTCCTGAAAGATTTGCCTGGTTTTCGATTTGAACTCCTGATTCGACGTTGCCGGCTCTGGGTAAGTCTCGTGGTGAGTCATTTTTTGTCAAAACACTTGATGGTATTCTTTGAGGAACTGGATCCTCACAAACGTGCTCTGATGCTACCAAAGGAAAATGGTCGTCAACGCGGCCTACCGCCGAAGTTAATGCGTCTGTGGCTTCACCAACCTGCCCACGTTCTGTGCTATTAAGGACATAACGATTTGACCGAGATTCCATTGGTGATGGGTTGGAAGCATGGGCTGTCTTATTTACAAAATCACCATGGTTATTCCCGAGGTTTCGTGTGAGCTGTGCGGTGTCCAGGCCATGTTCCTTACCTGGTGCGCTTAGGTGCGCATCAGGAGTGATTGAGTTCTTTGTTTGAGGATCGACCCTAGGAACAGGGGCGCCGCCACTAAGCAGTTCTCGACGATCCACTGCTTTCACGTCATCGCTATCCTCGTCGCTGTCACTGACGATAAGGTAGCCAAAACGAGATCCTTTCATAGTATCTGTACTACAGTCACCTGTTATGGATCCTTTTGCTTCTGTATACAGGGTGCCGCATAAAATAAAGATAAATCACTGAAAAAAGCACTTGAGCTACTGTGCTACAACTTCAGAACTTACCTGGCGGTTACAAGCGAGTCTAAAAAATAAAAATATCAATGGCTTTAAATTAGAATAAGTATAAGAGTGAAGAAGAGCGTTCAGATTGGGTAAAATTATTGAGCCCCCCACACTGTATAGAAGCCAATTATAAAACAAAATCATAGATCATTTTTTATTGTAGTGAGTAAATATTCTGTTTTCTTTGCGAATTGGATAATTTGATGAACCCACCAACTCGTATCTATGCTTAAAACCAAATAGGAACAGGGCAGGTTGACACACAATGCATAATGAAAGGATGAAGGAGCTGAATTTTTGATAATAGTTATCTTCAGATATATGTATAGGTATGTATTTGCTGAAAATTGGTGACAAAAAGCGTTATAATACGCATCTTTTTAAGAGAGGATCGCAACAATTTCGAAAAGTGTTCTTTTGGAAGGAACCTCTTATCTAATACCCTACTCTCCCATAACTGCAGGAAGCAATCCAAATAAAATAGGGAATTCCGTCCCATTTTCCTGTATATCCACTGGTTACTTCCGAGACTTGGGACACAGACTCAAAAAGGACGACAAAAGAAGCCAACACAAACGCAAAACCAATTATGTTGCTCAACACAACAAAACAAAGCATAAAAAAAGGCGGAACCCCTTTAAACGACTTCAATGTACCCATCTCAGGGGTCAGAAATGCAAAAGGTGCATGGTAACAGTAATGATAAAATAAATGCGTAATTTTATAAAAGGAACGAACGCAATGATCACTCAAAGATTTAAAAAGATGGCACAATATATATTAAGACCCAACGAAACAAGCTTTAACAGCGCGTACAGTCCCTCCTCAATATCGCATCTTGACCATGAGGTACACCATTTGAGTGCAAGATGTCGCTAGCATTGGAACTTTTCGCGTTAACTTCTGGGCTTCTAATTAGATTATGTTGCAACATTTGAGTGTACATGTCGTTTCTCATGGCACAACGTGCTGGGGAAAGCGGTATGGCATCTTCAAAATTGTCGTCATCGCCGTTTACGTCGTCAGTCGCCTCATCAATATGAAGCGATTCGGATAATTCATCCATAGCCACGAGTACTGGGACTTGAGTGTTCTTTCCAGACTTCGTGTTAAGCAAGCGAGGTGGGGAGCCTGATACTAAATCCAATGAGGGACAAAAGATCTCGTTACTAGACATCGGATTGTCTAAATCTCCCTTAGAGAGGTTTGCAGGGCTTGATGGCCTGCTGACGCTGTCTTCTGCGTTTTTGTATAATTTACGAATATTACGATACGACACCCTCCGTTTTTCCAGCAAACTTCTCAAGTGCTGCAACATCTCCTCATAACCCTCAACTAAGCTTGTGCGTTTCGTGTCGGACACAGAGTCGTGGTCCGAATGGGGCGAAGCGTGTGCTTCGCTTTCGACACTTGTACAACAACTAGGAAAAATGTCCTCGCTATCTAGAATCGGATTTTTGCGTGGCGTGCCGTGAAGGGGAGAAAGCTTCTCCGGAATAGGTTCGGGTGGCCCTTCGTTGGATTGCGAATTGGTGTCTAGAATGTCAGTATTCTTAATCACATGATGCCGCTCTACACCGAGTCGCTGTCGTTGCTTAAGCAAGGCTAACTGTTTCGAGAAGTGATCCGCTGAGTTGCAGTCACGATAGGGGGACACCTTGCTCCGCAAGGTGCGCAGCGTTTCTAGCATGCTAGGCACCACAACCTCCCGTTCATTACCCTCACCGGTCACATCCTTAAGCGGATGCAGCTCAACCTCGGCAGCTGGGATATTGGGCCCCTTTAGCATACCTGCGTACCTTGCCGCATCACTAGATAGAGGCCAGCAAAGGTGATGAGGGCGGGCATCCGGAGCAGGATGGAAAATAGGTTTAACATCCTCCAGGCCAGCCTTCTTCCTTGGGATGGCCGCATTACTGGACTGTGAATCTTGCCTGGATAAATTGGCCGCTTTGTTGTTCATTAAGGAGATGGGCTGAACTGGAGTGCACCCTTTGACGGTGTGCGCCACATCAATCAGCTCAGCTTCTGAAATGCTGTCTTCATTGCCCTTGATGACAATCGAGGACAGCTCCAAAGGAGGGGTGTCCATTGCTAGAGGGAGCATCACATTTGCTTTACCATCCTGAAAATTTGTTTTGTTTTCTACAAGCCTCATCAAAGCAACGTCTGAATCACTCACTAGCTGATTAGAAGTTTCATAATTCGGAGCAGCTAACGGATTCTGCTTGGACGGTGATAAAGGCAAATTAGACGCTTGAACCTCATATGATTTGGGGGTTTGAGCTGCTGGGGGGATGCGTTTAAAAAGACGTTCCGCACTTTCCTCTGGCGACTGCAAGGCGGAGTGCGGCACAGCAGGCGGTAGTGCAGCCAGGCTCCTCGGAGTTAAAGCAGGAGAGGAAGGGATTCGGTTTCGGATTCCCGCGATGGGGGTAGCCACATGTGGCTGAAATTCTAAATTCAATGAGGAGCGGACGCGTTTCTCAGCGTTGGGTTTACTAATGGGAGTTGAGGGTGGTGTCAGTCTGGGTGCTGCGTGCTCAGCAACATTTCCATTGTCCAGCAAAGCGTTCAATATAGCTGGTCTTGGGGGTCGACCCTGACGTGTTTGAGGCGATCGGAAGTGCGGTACCTGAGAACCCATGATAACCATACCATCATCTGCCACTACTTGTGGAGAAGCAGCCTTATCAACCAAATTTTTATTTTTTTTCATAGGTTCAGCGTTCGTCGGAAAAGAGCGCCGTTTGGGATTTTTTCTCTCCTCGGCTTCACGACTCACTACCTCTCGAGCTTTATGATCTAAACGGTCTAGTGGATAGCCATTGGAGTAACGATTCTTTGGAAATCCCCTTGGTTGATCCCCCAGTGATGGCCCCTCCTTACGTTTACCGACAGCTTGTTTTGCCTTCTGATATGCAGCCTTATCCGCATGTAGCGGCGAGTTCGCTGCAACCTTCACTTTGTTCTGGTTAGCCATTAAAGGTGGAGTATTGCCCTTGGGAACACCTTTCACAGGGCTACAGGGAGCGTATCTAGGGTCGACACCAAACATCCGCTGCAAGCCCTGAGCAGGAGTATGCAAGGGCAAACCACCAGCTCTCGTAGGCGAATGTGGTGCTGGAGCACATCGATGATCGTTGTTTAAGGGAAATGAAGGGGGAGAGGGGGAGGCAGCAGTGGGAACGCGGTTATTACGCGGTGAGACCCCTGCCTCACGTGGTACTGGCGCTGGTGACTGGGCTTCCTTAATGGGCTTGTTGTTGCCATTGTAGCCATTTGCATAAACATTGTTTTCTACACCCAGCGCAGCACGACGTTGTTGAACCAGAATGCGCTGGAGCTCCTTTTCTCGGAGCTCATTCAAGCGCTTGCGCCTCTCCAGATCTTCTTTTTGCTTCTTCAAGTAATCCTCCTGCTTGCGACGCATATACGCATGGATGGTTTCCTTCGCCTTAGGATTTGCATTATGTTCATATTTAGCCATGATAGCCTTTATACGTTGAACATTCGGTTGGTACTCACAGAACGGGGGTGGATCGTGTACAGCAGCAATTTCTTCCAACTTCACCGGCGGTTCAGAATCAGGCGGAACTACCTTACGGTTGCTTGGAGAAGAAGGTCTCTTAGCGTACGGTGAAGGTCCAGCTAGCGCTGCAGCGTTGAGCCTGTTTCGCATTTGTTGAAGGTTATCAAGCATGTTTCGTTGATAGATCTCGCCCGGCGTGACATGATTCGCGTTATTTTGATTGTTATTTACGTTAGGTACCTTGGGCTTCGGGCCCAAGATGTCAGCGACGCGTTTAGATTCGGGAGAGCCTTTAGTGGGTGACTGTTGCACCACCGCCATGGCTGCCGCTTGACCAGGGGTGAGGCCCGGGGACTGCTTTACTTTTTTCTGTTCCGCTCGAGGGGTAGGGCAGGGTGTTTTCTTGCCAGCTTGGCATTCATTGGAATTTTCACTATTAGGCGATCCGGCGTTAAAATCGATGATGTCCTTCAAACGCACACGGCACTCGGTCGCCAGCATAAGATTCTCCTCCAACTGCTCCAAGGACCGACGAACAAGAGGAAGGGAAAGAAGTTGCTTAATACTTGGCCGCCTTATAGGGTCCTTCTGAAGGCACCAGTCTATCATCTTACGGAACTCAGGTGAGTATTGACTAGAAATCGCTGCACATTGCCCAGTAACGATGCGTTGCATCAGCTGATTCATGTTGGCACCATCAAATGGATGACGCCCACCAGTCGCGCACTCATACAAGAGGACACCTAACGCCCAGATATCGCTTTTGTTGTTGTATGGTTTGTTGCGACACAGCTCGGGAGAAAAATAATAGGGCGTACCACAGACCGTGTTTGCCATTCCCATTGTGTTGCGAAGGATAGTGGTGATGCCAAAGTCACCCAATTTGACAGCTCCGTTTTTCATGAGAAAAACATTCATGGTCTTAATGTCTCGGTGCAGCATGTGAAACGAGTGGAGGTATTCCATAGCCAGGCAAACTTGTGAGAAATAATACATAATTGTTGGTTCCTTCATGGGGACACGCGACTGCTGTATCTTAGCGTTCAAATCCCCACCGTCGCAGTATTCCATTACAATGTATAGACTTCTCTGATTTTCAAACTGCTCGACGTAGCGCACAATATTAGGATGTTTAAGCTTCTGAAGGATTGTGCACTCGTGACGCGCCTCATCCCGCTCTTTCTTAGACATTTTCAGAAATGATACCTCCTTTACAACAAACAGTGCGTTATCTACCTTGCGTTTGATAAGAATTGCGCTCCCAAAGCTTCCCTTGCCAAGTACACGAACTTTCTGATACTTATCCATTGGATTGCTTTTTGAAGGTTAACAGTATGAAATTTCCTTTGTGTTTGTATGTTGAAAAAGAAAATGTTAAAAATACATATATATGTGCGTCGGTGTATGTATACTTAACGTGCGTCTGCGGGGTGAAAGCGGAAAAAATATTAATATTAACAATATTCCCACTCTAAGAGGTTAGGGTAAGTAAGAACTCAAATATATAAAGCTGCTAATTGGCTGAACCTAATGCAAAAAAAAAATGAGAACCCCCGCGAAACAAGGATATGGTTTCTAGATAGAAACAAACAAATTGATAAAGAAAGAAAAATGAAAGAACCTAAATATGTCACCGCATCTAATAATAGAAACCCACGCCATAAGTGGTAACGAAGCACGCCGTCTCTCCCTTATGTGTTAATTCGTGAAAAAAAAGGAATACAGTTTTTTTAAGTACTTTCCCATTTGTAAAGATCTCAAAAGAATGATCTTTAAAGTACACCATTGGTTTAGCATCTTCCCCTATTGGGGCCCAAGTAAAGCGATTTACAATATCTAGCTTTACCCATTATCCCTTTCATCAGCCCCATTTTCAGAGCCATAAGCTCATGAATCTAATTGAGGGTAGATAAAAGAAAAATGAGGCTGTAAAATAGCTACGATAGTGTAAATCTAATCTTCAAAAAAAAATTGCCTGCATGTGAAAACTTAATTGTAGGTATAGGTGCAAGATGCCTTCGCACGATTTCAACTGCTCAATTTTCCAGTACAGTTGATGCTTTGTCATGTTGCTCTGTCACGTTTGCTTTCTCCTCAAAATTCGGCTACCTCATCGTCTTGAACTCGTTTTTCCTCCTCATTAATAGCCAATCTATTGAGTCCGTTATGCTGAATATTTCTAGAAGATGGTATAAATTTTTCGTCGCCATCGTCAGCCACACGATACTGCTCGGTGCCCAAGATGCAAAACTTGGTTTTTATAGGGGCCGAGTAACCTTTGTTGTCATCAGTGGCCAAAGGACCGCCACTCGCACAAGGCGATAAAATACTTGTTGCGCCATTTTGGTCAGCACCCAAGTTGTTGCTATCACTTGAATGATCACCGCGGCTGTTGTAACCAGCGCCCACAGAAGTTTCAGAGTTCTTGGGGTGATATTTAGACCGGTGTATGATGCCCCTGAATTTCGCTTCAATGAATATCGACGCTAACAAAGTGCCAATGACCGCAATAAGAAGAAAAATAAATAGTGCCGTAGCACTCCTCCGACCAAGAGCCCCTTCCAATTTTATCATGGCTATCTTGTAAGCTTGGGCGTCGAATTGCGTTGCTGCTGAGATACCGTGGCTAACGTGGAAAATGTAAAGAAGCTTGTCCTCAATCTCATTGATCACCCTCGCGTTACCGGCATTTCCTTCGAATGTTGTGAATTTAACAGACACATGGAGATGTATGGGCACGTTCATGCTGCTGCCATGATGCAAAAGGGGGCCGGGTGAAAAGGCAAAATTAAAGGGAACCGTCACGGTCTGGCCGCCAGAGTCACCCTCGTTGTAGCTCAAATGTCTATATTTCAGAAATGGAGCTACTTCCTTCCACGAATAGTACCGGCCCATTTGGGGGGACGCAAATGGATACCCATCAGCTTGAACCTTAAAAAGTTCGTTGCCCGGCGTGGCGCTTCCTTCTAGTAGGATGATCAAGTCCTCGTTATCCCTCAGGTCAGAGGCTTCAGACGCAATAGTTTCGTTCAGGGGAACCCTAAGGAATACATACTGTAGCTCTGCGACCGTGTACGCAGTACTCAAGAAGGCCTTGGGGGTGACAAGGGTACCGTCCTGCTTTTCCTTGATGGAGGGAATCGTAACAAAGACCCAATCCTTCACACCAAATATATACTCCTGTTCGTAAGCGCACAAGCTTGCCCTTTCACTCATAGCGCCTTTAGGCAGTATAGCACTAAGAGAAGAGGGGTAAATGCTGCTTTGCGTGTAGATGGAAGCCATATGGCACATAGAAGCATTTGTTAGCTGTTTTGGTGTGCTATAATCATCCATAACTACCACACCAGAGTCGTTGGCAAAAGAAAGAGGTTTAAAGGGGTTAGCAGGTGTTGAACTCCCCAACACGTCTGGTACTGGCCAATAGGGACTAGCTGTACACATTTGGGGGAGTAGATAGTGGTTGTTAATAAGACTCACATAGTCCGATTGGTCAACCTTAACACTAAAGACCTGGCCGTTGCTTAACCTTACATGAATGACAAAGGAGCCGACAGGGGCCGCATCAACCGAATTGTATGAATTCCGGCCATTAACGCGTAAGGTAAAGATTAGTTCGTAGTAACTACCTATATCTGAGATTATTCTTGGAAAAACGTAGGGATTACCACGGGTCCTAGGATAGTCGCTGGAGCTAAATTTAGCCGCATTGTATGCTTCAAAAGTGACAATGCCGTCCGTACCGCAATCAGTTTCGAAGCCAAGACCAAGACCCTTGCAGCGCATGCGGGTTCCCGTGCACTCTGTGCACTCTAACCCGTTAGGCGATGCAAATTCGAAGTAAACAAGACTTGAGCTTTGCATTGATACATCGTGTGTATCGACGCTGATCATCCTGTTATCCACCATCCGCCTTGGATACATGTGAACGGAGTACGCATAGAGCCTTTCGTTCGTTACGATGTCTTTGCCAAAGGTGTACTGGATATCTGAGACAATACGTACGGCACCATCACCGGCCTCCTTTACTTCACTAGTGTGCACAGTAATGGTACTGCGGATGGTGACATTGACATCATGCGGCTTATGGCTAATCACAAACCCCTGCTCAGGGGACTCTAAGCTAACTGGAGTGAGTCGGTTCATATAAACAGTTCCTCTCAACGTAGTATCACCAGTGAGCCTAAAGGTTGCAGTGCCGTCAGGATTTTGTAAAGCCCGTAGCGACTCCACAGATGCCGTGCCGACATACGTCGCGTCGCAGCCATCGATGTACAATTCCCAGGTAACGGTTGGTGTGCCACCACCTTTACTTTGTGTGTTGGGTGTCATGAAAGGTGCAAACTTGCAGGAGTCTTCGCGGTAGATGTCGCATTGTTGATGCAAACCACCGAACTTCTGATAGTAGTTATCGCCGAGCCTATAGTTATCTGTGAGAAGATTTAAACCTCCGCCGTCGGCCAAAACGACATCAGAAGCCCTCCCTTCAGTACTCTGGCGATCTAAGCATGAAGGTTCGAAAGAAACAAGCGTATCGTTGGGAGCGCTTGCGGAAGTGAGATAACCGGAACCATTCACAAATGGGCTAAACGTCACAAAGTGAGACTGCAAACTATTAAGCGTCATATAGGCGTAGATGAGCAGATTGCCGCTCTCAGAATAGTTGAAATCAATCGACCCAACTGCACGTCCATCTTTGCGAGTGGAATTACCCTTAACACAGGACCCCTTACAGGTGATAAGGTTGCTTTTGTCATGGTAGATCGTCGAGTTATCTGGTGCAGGTAAGATAGAGATCCGAGCAGTGGCCTTGCATGCGTTAAAAGGACTTGCAGTGCAGGTCAAAGTGAAGTTGAAAGAATCCACATCAGGAGAGACAGAAGGGGTGAATGAGGTATATAAAAAGGTGCCCTGATGTGCATCAAAGTCTGAAATCGACCCTGCCTTCGGCTTCGTGATGAGAGTTGCGTTTGTGAACTGATTATTAAGGCAAAAACTGCTTGGCTGGCCTGACGCCCGTGCTGAGAGACTCGATAGCTTGGAACTGAAGGTACCGTCTGCGTTAAGAAAGTACTCATAATTAAAGATACCAGGGCACACATTATTCGGCTGCTGATCTTCCGAAAAAAATATGACCTCCTCAGGATAAGGTAAAAACGGCGTCCAGTCTTGCTCGCCACATCGAATTTTAAAGGAGGAAGAGTCGCTCGCCACTGTCTGACCCCCTATCATCAAACCACTCGAATTGTCTAAAAAAGAAGGTTCAAACACACCGACATTATCGTGTGTGAGATTCTCGAGAAGACACACCCCAGTATGTGGCTTGTCAACCGATTCCGCGTTGGCCTGCGGAGAAAGAAAGGCTGCGCTGAAAGAGTGAGATTCTGAAAGTAAAAGATTCGATGCTGGCACCACGATAACAATCTGGTCAAAAACGAAGTCCTTGCTAGGATCGCTATCACAGATGATGCGAATTCGAGCGATAAACTCTCCTTCATTTATTTCACCGTTGTTTGCGTCAAAATTAAGTAAGGGTTCACCACTTATACTTCTCATGAGAGTAAAGTGGTGGCCTTTATTTTGACTGAGAATTATGAGTGACGGATGGTCACAGATATCGACACCAGCTAAAACATTGATAGAGAGTGAAGTCCCTATTCGAGTGTAGATACTCTGATGAGTGTACCGCATCGGGTGCATGGTGCTTTCTGTGCCAGTAGACACACTTATGTTCGTCGGGTTAGACTCTGCAACGTAGTAAATCACTGCCGAGCTGCACGGAGAGGATACCTCTCGATCGCATGGAGCGCTAAGATCTACGTGAGTGAGCCTCCTCTTATTTAAATCAAACGAGGGTATGGGAGCAAAGTTAATTAGGTATCGTCTAAAAGGAGAGTTTGCTTTACTTTTGTTATATTCCTTGTCCGAGTAGCTGACTAAACCACTAGGACATTTGCTAAATTGCCAGTGTGTGTGATGGATGTTCACACTGATATCACCTTGAGTTATGAAATAGAGCCACGTGCATTTGTATTGTGCAGCCTGTGCACCTTCGCCCAGAAGAAACAGAAAGGCAACGAAGAGCGTCAAAATAGCGCCCCAATTCGATCGACCACTCAGCATCTTCGCTACTTTGAACAACAAAAAATCACCAACAATGAAAAACAAGAGTACTTGTTAGGTTAGCTAATAGTGGCGATAGCAGCAACGTGCTAAAAAGAGAGAAGCAGCACGGCCAACTACAATTAATCGGTGATGGAATGAGTCTGGATCTTCCAGAAGCAGCCTAAATTTGATGCTGATGAATATTAATACTACTTTTCGCATTAATACGACGCAAGGGAAAAAAGAACCGATGAATGTGCAAATTCATACAGAACAACTTAGGAAACAGAGTTTCTCACATAGCTCAGAGAGGTGAACGAGAAGAGAATATAGGAATACAAAGCTTCCTACTTCATTTAAAGGTGGAGAAAAAAAATAATGCACTAATCACGCATTTCTGAATTGTAAGATGGTGTATGACTGCAAAAATAAAAAAAGACAAGCGTGTTACAGAATCTCCATAAATGCAAATCCTTTATATGCGTCTATGAACTACAATTGTACACAATGGGCCAACCTTCATATAAAAATCTATCGAAGCTTGAACTCAACTGTAAGGTATAAGCGAAATCTATGAGTCATCAAATCCACAGGAAGACATACCTTGAATCATTACCACAAATGTCAGTTTCACATACCCAGAAACGGGTCTAGTTGTCAGCACGACGCGATCATCACCTCGACAGATATACGATACATCTCGCAGCACAGGGGCCTCACGGGTTAGAAAGCTAATCAATTGATGCTTCTTCGTCGCATTTTCAAGCTGCATGATGCTCAATTGTCGGCTATGATGGCCGCTCTGCATAGGCACAAAGCAGCGACTGTAGCCAACTATTGCATCTCTGCAGTCAAGATCTCGACCGTATGCCCTGTGTGCAACTACGTTCAAGGGTTTGCTGGTTATTGTGTGGAGCGTCACAATAAGCTGTGGCCAACCGTGCGGGTTGGTACTGTGTAACGCGAATTCGAAGGGTGCGGCCCACACAAAGTTTGCAAAAGGTCCAGTCGAGCGGTCTGAAAGCTGTGTAATTACCTCGGCGTTGTGGCTGTAAGTAGTATAGACCACATTACTATCGTTAAGATTGCTTGATCCGTCTTTGGTCGTGGGAAGGGATAAAAAGGACCAATCTGGTCCAAAGAATAGTTGAGTGCGCGCAAACAAGGAACTCGCCTCGTCGCACTCGGCGCCCTCAACCACACCATGAACAAAGACTTGAAATCCTTTGGTTACTAATGGTCGCTCAACGGTTGTGCGCGTGTGCTGGTCTAACTTGCTATTCGAGTTCTGAATGCTGCTCTGGGGAAGCATTATAAATGTAAAACTACTTTTTTGGTTCTTAACTTTCCTATTCCCTTCAAATGAAAAGAATAATAGTGGCAGGAGACAAGATAAATGTATTACGTAGTCTCAGGATTGAGTTTGCTCTCCACAAAAACAGCACCGATGCAACTCGACAGAGCATTTCTTTAGATGCCAAGCGAGATGGATTGCTAGAAAAAGGAATGCGCCTACAAAGCGAGAGAAAACATGGCTTCACAAGGTAAGCCTATGTGTCTTAATGCTTGACCAAAGCCTAATCCTATGCAAGGGCTTTTCCCCTGACTCCTCGAACAACGAAAGAGGTTAAGAGAAAAGTACAGTACACTGATCAAAATTTTTCCCGTGATGGTCTAAATACATTTACGTTTATTATAACACTTCACTATCAGTGATTCTTTTTACATTATGTGCAGCTGACAACGTTTATACTATTGGCTCTAGTTTCCTGGGGTTCCTCCCTTAAAACTCTATCCATGATGTCCACAGTTGTACGGTAAAGAGGGCAGAGGCTTACGCAGAAGATTTTTGAGCTCCACGAGGGCCCTATGCACATTTACAGAGCTAGGTGAAACCACAGGTGGCAAACGAGTCCTTTGGGACTTATCCTTTGACTTGTCTCTTTTCGGTGCTTCGACTAAAGGAATCTCAGAACGAGAAAAAGCTTTGGAGGTGTTATGGGAGAGTTGGGGACTATGAGCCGCTTGGTCTTCCACTTCGGTTATAAAGAACGCTGCGGTCTGATCAGGTTCAGGAAACGCTCCAGACGTTGAGATGATATTTGTCCCATCCGCAACGACATTGTCAGGATTCAAATTATCTGTTTGTACAAAATCGGTAGTACCAGAGGATGACAAATGCGGACGCGTCGCCCGTGACGACTGCTTGTGGCCAGAAAGCGGGTTACGTCGAGAACGTTTTCCTTTGGGACGTGTCAAGCGGTAAATATCCATAAATTCCTTATAGGGAGGAATGGTGACGAGGAAGTTCTGTCCAGCGCGACAAGTGTGGGTAGCATAGAAAAACTGCAATGATTGTTTTGGCATGAACGACTCATGCACAACTATTTCGATTCGATACGCATGCAAATACGCCTCAACATTAGTATAAGAAGTCTTTGACAGCATTACACTATCTGATTCTGCATATGGATCATCAGGAAGGAAACCATTTTTCCCATCCTGCATTGACGACTGCCCCATCGACACCGAATTATCACTATGATGTGTAAACGAAAGGCACGGCAGGGAATCAAGTGTGGGTTGGTCCTTGTCATTGCTTGCGTCCTCAGCCTCAGTGGTTGTGTAATAGTCAGATTCAGCTTCTGCGGCAGCAACGGCAGCCGCCCTTGCAGCACTCTGCAAAGATGAATGACCACAGTCGTTGTTCGGTAGTGATAGCAAGCGAACCCAATCATTGCCTACCCATCTCTCACTATCCTCGTCACTGGTTAAAGGTTCAGCCTCTGTGCTTGGAGCATCTCTATACTGCATAACTGACCCTTCCTCACGCATCTGGCGTCTTTTTCCGTGATCATAAAAAGTAGTCTCTGCTATACGCGAAAAAGCCGTCTTGAGGGCCTCAATGTTACGCGGATCCACACATATCGGATTATTCGTGAGTACTATCTGTCGGAGCGTACGATGTAGGTGGCCCAGCTCCACTAAACCCTCTGTCAGCTGGAATTGGTTATCAGCGACACCTATAATCTCGATAGAGGGGAAACAAAGCCCACGACCGCTGTGCATAGAAAGTGGTGGGACATGAAATAGTTGGTTATGGTTCAGGTTCACTTCGACGAGTGAAGGCATAGTCGAGAGACTCTGGAATACATCAGATTTGTCCCCTTTGTCCAGAGAAGAACGAAACTGATTGTTTTCTAATGCAAAGTGGGTGACGCCAGTGAGAAATGATAGATCCCTTGGCAACACTTTAATGTCGTTTCCGCTCAAATCCAGCTTTTCTAAACAAGGAAAGTGTACGAGCAGTGAGAGGTGGCCCGCTGGAATGCGATTGTATGACAAATTAAGCGCCGTTAGATTGGGTAAAAGAACATCATGTAAAGACAAGCTCTTGGAGGTGCCCAGCGTGGCAGACGCGCTGGGGCCACACTCGGTGCCATCGGGGGCACCACTGTCTTGTCGCTGCTGCTGCAAAACCCAATTTATTCCTGCAAGAGATGAAATTTTATTACACGCAATATGAAGGGTCTCTAGGGAAGTAAGGGCAACCAAATCCTCCACATTCAGTGAATTCTCGCTGACATCAAGGAACACTAACTTCGTGAAAAAAGACAAATCTTCGGGGACGCTATTAGTCAAGTAAGAGCACTGTAGGGTAACTGCCTCCACTGCCTCCGGGTTGTCCGTGCCAGCTGCATTTAAAATAAAAAAACCATCTAACACGACGCCCCCATGAGCGCTGCTGTGATTCATGCCACCCTTCCGCTGCCTCATAAGCTCCTGCTTTTCTATTGACACCAAGGCCTTGCGGAGGCGCTCACGCTCCTCCCTTAAGTGTTTACAAGGCACCGGAGGCAGGCGAAAGTATCCGCGTAAGGTGCGCTCTAGAACATCGTCGTCTTTGAGAATACGAAACCCTTGAGGATGCACTACACGATAAATTGGCCCACGAGCCCCATCGCCCATCCAAGGGCGTTCCCGTCCGTTTGATACTAAATGGGTTGCTTCCTTCTTAGGTACCACGCCACTCCCCGGTATGACATTACATTGCTTAGGGGATGGATACGATAGCCCGGTGCTAGATGCTGTGAAGAGTGACGAAATGCGATCTGTCTGATAATTGCCTTTCAAACGGTTAGAAGGTTGAAACTGGGGATTTACATGCTCATGAAATGCATCCTGATCCTTATTAGGAAGGTCCCTCATCAAAACACCCTTTCTATAAATAATCAACCTCGGCTAGTGCTTTTCAAAGAAGAAGGAAAAGATAGATTAACTAATATTAAATATTATTATTATGATAATAATAGTAGTAATACGGTGAGATATTCACACGCAGGCTTTAAAATGAGATGACAAACCATAACGAATTCATTGTATTTGATCTAGAACATTTCATATTCTGAAGATCTCATTGCTTTTTTTTTTTGAATAAACATGGTGGGGGATAAAAAATGAACTTCTGTTGGTCTAATTTTTTATAGACACTCTTCAACTAAGGTGACCACGATAGCCATCACTATGGATACATTCGGCCATTCAAGAACAAATGGAAAAATTCTCTCTACAAAGGAGCTAAGCTAGAATTGTGTTTTAAAAAGCAATCAAGGAAAAAAGTGAAAAGGGGATAAGTAAAGGGCCCCGTCTTCTCCTGTACATCTATTTTCAACCACTCAAACATACTCACAAAAACACTTCTCTCACTTTCGACTGCATTCCTGGGTTTTAAGATATATATATATATATATGTATATATATTAATGATTCAACAGATTGCTTTCAGTTTCACCCACCATGTTGAGGTCATTATGTTCATTTTTGGAAGCGAAACCCGAAGCAGACGATAAATGCGGTAATAGAGAACTGAGCTGCTTAGAGTTAGCCAAGCACACCTTTTCCATAAAGTCAATTTCCAAGAAGAGGTGGGGCTCAATGTTATGTTTAGGCATACTTTCTAGTACCTTAAAGGCGTTACGGGATTCACCTAACTTCTCAAAGTAGAAATGCACGAGGAGAGCAAAAACATCCCCGACTCTTAACGATGCTTCAATGAGCTCGTGATCTGAATTTCCAGGCCGACTGCGTTTGATAATGTCTGAACATAGCTTAATAATTTGGTCGCCCTTCACCTTCTTCCTCTCTATGTTTTCCTTGGGATCTATTTCACTGAACAACTTCTGAGCTGTTACAAAAGATTGCACAACTTTCATACGCTCCTGAAGATCAGCAAGCTTCGGTGTGTCAGTACCGGAAATTTTCTCACCAACCGATTGCGAAGGGGCTAACTTTTCGAACGTGCGCACACACTCATCCAGGACTTGGAGGGCATCCTCATAGTTTCGATTTTCGTCGATGTAAAACTGCGCACATGAATCGTAGAAGTTGAGAAGACTGTTAAATGATCTCGACTTAGTGTAAAAAAGAACAATATTGTTGTAGATATTGCGATTCGCACTCCAGTTCTGATTCTGCAAAAAATTTCCAGCAAGTGTGTAAATCTCAGCATTGCGAGAGTGGTTCGCAAAGAAGATAACCTTGTCGACGTCACCGCTACGCATGAGCATTTTCATCGCCTTGAGTCGATCTCCAGCCTGTGTGTATTTTTTACAAGCTAAATTCCAGAGTCCTTGATCCTTTGCGATACGGGCTATACGAAGCAGAAGTTCCTGCTTCTCGTTCACAGGCAAGTTATTGCCTTGACCAGTTATAGAGTCAGCCATAGCCTCTGTCAGGGTGACATTTTGATCTTGACAGAGCTGCAGCGCCGCATCATAGTGTTTCGCGAAAACAAGCATTTCAACCGCCTTACTATAATCCCCTGTAGATTGAAAGTGCTCGGCCATGCTCATGAACACCTCTTCACTAGCCATGTTGCTGTCTGCAAGTTCCATGCTGATCTCGTGTAGCGTATCAAAAAGACCACCTCTGATACACCCTTCTAAAGCGCATTGGACAGCGCCGATTTTACGATACAGCTCAACTGCCTTGCTATAAAGGCCCTTTTCTGAAAGGTAAAGAGCGCACTCCAGCATTAGGCGCTCATCTCCGCTGCGAGCAGCGAACTCAAAGACATCGTTGTCGCGTTCCGCTGCCCGAGACAATCGCGCTCCACTGTAATAGGCACCGGCATACTGATAATACTGCAGTGCCTTATCTACTTTGCGCTCGCTCTCATAGTACTGGCCAATTAAAAAGGCAGCGCCGACACAATCGGGCTCCGACTGCTGAGTTGCCTTCTCCTCAGAACTACCGACATATTGTTGTTGCCGATACCGTTGGAATTTTGCGTTAGCCTTTTCAATATCTCGGTCGACCAGCTCCAGCGCCTTGTCAATTCTAGGTGGCACCAGTCCACACAGCAGCCGCACCTGGTTGTAGGTGTCTTCACATAAACCGTAGAACCAAAGTGCCTCCTGGATGTCACACCGACGCTCACTGTATCTGGCCCACCACTGAAGCAGGTCTTTATTGTTGGGAAACAGAGAGGCAAACGCAGAACGCGGCCCTGAGGACACTGCGTCGTGATTGCTACTACATACGCTCACTGCCCGCGATGAGTTCCTGGAAGCATCCCTACCATTCATCAGCTCCCGAAGCTTGTGCAGCCTATTGTTATGAAAGAAAATGCGTGGGACGTCCGTGCCGGCGCAATGTGCATTGTAGTACCATATAATCGATGCATCCACATTACCTAAACTCTCCATAAACTGGGCATACTTGTAGATCACCGACCGGATGTGTATACGGTCATAACGCTCTGAGTGCTGTTGAGCTCGCTCAAACTTTCCGCATGCCAAAAACACATCTGTAATGATTCCGTACTGCTTTGAGGCGCGCAACAACCGCTCACATTCCTCTAGAAGACCCATGCTACACGCAAGTGAGGCTAACTGCACGTTTTTATCGTTTGGGTAGTCCTCCTGGGACTCTCTCAGCGCCCGAGCTGCCACAGCGTCATTGATGGTAGCTAGGCACACGGCAGCCACGTCAAGACGACCAGTTGAAACGCACATTCGCGCCAAACTTTGCCAGGCCGACGGATCCTTAATCATTTTCATACATCGATAGGCCTCGTCCATGTTTCCAATTGTTGAATAGTAGCTAAATTTCATAAGTGCCTCACGGACAGCTACATCATTATCAGACTGGAGGCCGTCAAAATCTCGAAGCCGCTTTTGCTCAATAACGTAGTCATGTGGATTCGATGGATCGCCATCAATCTTTACTGATGAAAGAAGAAAGTCCGGAATCGTAAGACCAACAAGACAGATCTGATACACCTTTAGTGGTGCTGAGTTATGAACTACCAGACCGTTATCTGTGGCAAATAAGGTTACCAAATTGTGCGCGCGACTTGAAAGAATACCCATAAGGCCAAGAGAGCGGTTGCCCCACCCAGCCCCTGACTCCTTCTTCTCGGCAAAATTCTCCAAATCTGGCATTGGTTCGGCGTACCCCTCGCGATGGATAAAGCGAGGTGCCGGGCTCTCGGTACCAGGATCTCTGTCCTCATCCGATCTCGCTTGTACAAAATTATTTTTGTTATCATCGTCGTCTTCGTCGATAATTGATTCTGCGTTAGGATCCGAGTCCGTTGTTTTGCATCGAAGCTGGTGCGTCTCACAAGCAAGCAGAAGGTATTCCAATTCTCCAATGGTGCTTGCATTAGGTTCGGGCGTGTTCCAGTACACCGCGTCAGGGACCTCGTTCCTCTCGGCGAAATCAAAGGTCATCATCTTGTCGGTGTCTGCGTCAAAAACCCAAATGTGGGTGTCCGGCACCTGGAGCGGACCGACCCTCGCCATCAGTGCGACACGGCGGCCCTGCGCGTTGACATGGGCTGAAACCACCGTCACCTTGTTTGCCTCGGTGTCATCCTCAATGAGCCTGAAGGGCCTCGACGGCCCCAGCGGCTGCAGGCCACGTGGTGTAACCCGCACAAGACGGAGCGAATTTTTGGACGACACCACTACAACGAAATCCTTCATAATGTCAAGCACCACCGGAACTCCTTCGGATGCCGTAAAGGTGAGTTGTCCGATGTTTTGGAGGTGCAAGGTGGTGAAAATGATGCGTCCATCCTTCACGTAGAGCAGTCCGTCTCGATGCAGCGCGAAGGCAGGGCTCACAGTAGGGACAAAATTGACATGCACAAAATCAGAGGTTGTTTCGTTAATGGTGTAAATGTCGATCTGCGAACCGTTCCAAAGCGCAATATTAGGAAAGGAGATGGAGAGACCTCGAATTTTGGTTTTACTATTTAGCAAGCACTGACAGCCTGTTACACTTTCAATGACCACCAAGTTGGTGGAAATCTGTGTAGCCGCTGCCGCACCGTCCCATGCGCGGTGCCGCACAGTCTCATGGATTACCTGAAGATGGGCGCTGCCTGTGCATACAGCGATATCACCCAAAGGATTAATCGAGATATGATCAATCGGCTCACCAAGGTTATGTGTAGTTAGAGCCTCCCATGCGCTGATGTCATTTATCGCCATGTGCATCAATGCAACTCCATTCGGCTCATCAGAAGATGACACTACGTCGTCTACCTTGCCGCTGCTGCGTTGAGCACTCTGGGGTGTGGCTCTATTGTTATGGATAAAAACAGAGGCCAAGCCTTCAATGGTGCCAACTACCAGCACCTTCCTTTGGGGCGAACAGGCAACTATTCGAACGTGACTCCCTACTTGGGGAAGGGGAATAGTGTGGATCGTCTCAGTTTTGATATCTAACACGTAGACTCGGTCGTCGCCAGAGCCAATAACCACGGATCCAGTGCCAGCCCAGGCCAGAGACGGGGAGAGCCCACCACTTGGCGCTGCGGTAGGATAGCCGGGGGGCGTCAGTTTTCTCCAAAACAACGATTCCACAGAAAGATCTCTATAAATGTGGAACACTTCGAGTGTCTGAGTGTTGTTCCACGCCACAAGCGTGCGTTCCTTAGGATCATACAAAAAGGAGATAATACTCCCGATCCTCGATGTGACCTTTGAGAGTTTCTGCTCCTCTGTGATGATATAGATGCAATTACTACCTCCTAGGAGTAGGAACACAGTATCATCCTCCGAAACATTCAAAGGTGCATCAGAAAGCTCATGATCATGGTTCTCGGGGCTCTGGCTGTCCCGGGGTGCAGATTTACGTAGAGGAGCGTTCAGTGAGCCTCTCGACAATGCTGAGGTCAATTTACTGGGAATGTGCGCAGCTTTGATAATTGGATCAGGGGCCTCAACAAACCAAAGCGACCTGATAACGTGTTCTCTCGCAATATTTTGGACCTCGTTATGCTGCCGCAACGCGCTCCTATCCAGTTTCCAAAGTGTAACTGTATTAGAATCGTACGACGTGAGAAGATACTCACCCTGGGCAGACCACTCACAAAGCAGAACCGACCTATCGCGATGCTCGTGCGTAAGGTCCTCCATATCTGTGAATGTAGCGGCCTTCGCAGCAAGGGACAACACCACATAACTGCTGTGGCCATATGTGCCGATATCTTCCTCATCATTGATCCCAAGCTCACCTGCCATCGGCATGGACCACAGCAATAGTTTGCCGTTGCTCCAGCCTATGATCAGAATCCTTTCAAACGGATGCCACGCGAGACAGGTGACAAGAAGAGTTGTTTTTGATGTAGAATCCCTGTCACGAGGTTCCTGCACAACGGTAAGTATTTCACCCTCATTATTAGTGATGAGCACTGAAGTGGGTGAGCTCCACGCAGTCGCAAGCAGCGGCTGCGAACTATGAAATTCCATAAGAGATTTGTCAAGCCTCCCCTCATGGGAGGGCTTGTTTGAAGCAAAGAGTGCCATAAGAAAAACCTAGGCCTGGCAAAGCAGACACGAAGGAATGACGTTGGGATGAAATGAGCACCCCCCTCCTTTAGGGACTTGTACTACCAAGAACGTTAGCCTATGGGATATACAGTGCAGAAACTTCCCACCGATAACTTCAAAAAAAAGGTATGAAAAATAAGACACACACAAAATTGACTATAACAAAGTAAAAACTAAAGGGAAGTAATAGATTTTTGTTTAATGTGAATGCGTCGGGAAAGGAAAAAAGAGGGACGTTTGAACAAGAAATACTTAACAAACTTGGGATGCATTATTTAAGAAGTAAGCACAAGCGGGAAAAAATCACAAGGGCTCTTGAAGAAACCTCGGCGTGCTATATAAAGCATAATAAAAGTAACTTTCAAAGAAAAAAACTTGGTATTAGTGATACTTCGTATGCATATTCATGCAATTGACAACATTTGAGTGATCAGTCGCGTTTTCAATCTATTACATACCCTAAGCATGTGGTGGATAAATACTTAAACTCCGCATAAGCTTTGAATGGAATTCATTCATGTTTGGATTTTTTTTCTTTACTTGCGAGAGTGGATAAAACTATACTATAACCCTGGCTGTACCTCGACGAGATGTGCCCTTTCTTTGACGAAAAGAGTTCCCTATACTTTTAGCCTCCTCCTCTTCGACCTACCAGTGCCTATTCTCAGCTTTAAAATGATTAACACATTGCGTGGCGGACTTCGCATTGGTTTACTGTTTCTTTGTGTTCTTTTTTTGATGATGCCACGGGTTAGATTGCTCATGAAAAGGCCACTACTCTCATCCCTGAATAGAAATAGATCCGAGTGGACACCAGAGGAACGTTAAAGGAAATTAGCTTCAAAAGGGTCAAGGACTAAAACTGAATATCTAAATTTGGATCCTAAGAAGATATGCCCACCAACCTCTAGGTATCTCCATAGCTAGGAAATCAAGCAAACAGTCTGAAAGGAGAAAACACAGCTAAGCCTTTCAATTTTTTTTTGACTTTGAGCGTGTGGCTGGTACTTTGGGGGGTGCAGAAGAGTTGAATCGGACGTTTTTTTTCTTTACACTAGTGCTTCTAGTTGTGGTGTTGACTGCAAAAGGTACTTCGTCTGTGGATTGGGGGCCGTTGCCGCTCCCTTTGGAATTTGTATCCCGATTTAAAGCACCAGGATAGCTACCCCGTAGCTCATCTTTGACTTCGCTTCCTGTGCGACGCTCTAAGCTAGCCTTGCTGGGACAGGGAACTTGAAGCGCTGGCAAGTTTCGGAATGCACGCGCAGCAAGAGTTTTATTGGGTGTGAAGAAACGATGAGAACAAGCGCTGGCTGGCGGTGTGGGTGTCAACAGTTTAGAGGCTTGCGTGGTAATACCTGGGGGCATGGCATCTGGAACGGTGTCGGGCCTGGATAAAGTGTTGGGATCAGTAATAAAAAAAAACGTTGTATCAATCGTTTGGTGCGTCTGCGACACTGTTACCTCAGTTTGTTCTTCAAAAGAAAATGGTGGAGACTTCGGATCCATAACATTTTCGCCTGGAGAAGACTTATCAAAGGATCCTTCGGTTGGTGGCACAGTCGGTGATAATGGTAAAGTTATGTTTCGAGATATTGTATTCGCCTCTCCTCCAAAGCGATACGTGGATCGGAGCAGGGCTCGTAAGCCTCGGGCCCCGCCAACAGCAACCGGTACCTCGCTACCAAGCTCTACCTCGTATTCTTCCTTGATGTAATCCATCATCCAGAGGAAAAAAGACTCAAAGTCACTCATGGCTAAAATGATGCGCCATGCTTGGTACGAAAGGATGCCTTGCGATCCAAACGAGCCGTTGTCATGTTCATCGTTACCACCAGGATCGAGATTGGCAGGGTAATCATAAAGTGCCTCCACAAACTCTGCTTCCTCAAAGTCAGGAACGTGTTGAGTCAGTACATGCACAAGTGCAGTAGAGGTACATTGCCCGAACTCTTCATAAACGGCGTACTCTTCATGGTCGTGATCAATGATCTTCTGAAAAGGCTTCCCCTTCGATTGGTTAGTGGCATATTTCATAAAAATTTTGTGATGGCCATAAAGAAAACCAGCGAGCCAGCGAACAAACTTCGTACTGCTTACCAAACGCTCTACCCACATGACGCTCAACCAAAACCTATTAAGCCGCTCCTGTGCCTGCTGAGAAAGTGCCGCCGGTGTTTTCGAGAGAGCATCTTCCTCGGAAAGGTTTGCAGGTGATGGACGTACTGCAAGGCTTCGTCTAACGTGCGGCGCAATGGCCAGTTCCTCTAGACTCATTGGCTCATCAGCAAGCAGTGATAGGTCGGTGGGCACCAGCTCTTCAGAGGTTGTACCCCTCTTACGCAGACAAATCGCCTTGGATATGGCCAGAGCCTCTGCTGTATGATCAGCGGCTACGAACAGTGATGACGATTGTGAATCCTCATCTTGTGCGCGGTTGCACCAATTACAGTATAGCTGCTCCAAGGCTTCCTGCTCTAGCTCGGCAAAAGTGTGGGGAGGCAGACGAGCGTTGCTTTTAACGCCCCTGTCGACGGGATTCGCCGACTTTGCGGGCACCGATTCCTGTTGCTGAACTACCGCATTAGACTCTGAACTGGTCTGCATATACTTGCCAAGTAATTTTGAAAGACGTTCAAAGTTCTCTTGGAGTGGGTCAAGGTGGTTATTGTCGGTGGTATCTACTTTAGGAAAGCTCTCGACAGTCTGTGCGTGTCTCATCGATTCCGTCCCGTCCTTGTCTGAATTAGATAAACACCGTGAATTATTAATGTCATCTGTACCAGAGTTTTGGGGCAAATCGGGTGTTGACGTGTCAGATTCTAGTGGCTCTGATGCATCAATATTAGAGCTACTGTTTGGTGTTGCTGACGCGATAAGTGCCTCGCGTACGGTCATCGATGCATTTTTATGTGCTTTGGTACGCTCATACTTAAGAAGACGTACATTATGTTGAGAAGCTACCGGTGTTTTGCCATGATTATGGGCAATGGATTCACTTTTCGGATACAGCAACGCTTTTGTGCGTTCCCGTGCCGCAGCTAGTAAGACCTCCTCCGTAGCATTAAAATGGTCACTTTTGATGTATGGTTCCTGATACGGATTACCCATTCGGCCTGAAAAAAGTACCCCCTCAGGAGCCGTTGTGATTTCACTACTAGTAGAGGTACTGCTATCGTCGTCATCATTACCTAAAGCTGCCGCTGGTTGACGAGAATGTTCAAATATACTAGATGATGGCCCGATGCGGGCAGACTCATGAGATAACTTGAAGGTGCCTAGCTGGCCTCGTGCAACCTCAATAGCTCTCTGTGGGTCCACCCGTTTTGCTTTTATCGGCATGAAGCGTCCGTCACAGGTCGAACAGATTGATGTACAAATTTACAGGGCTAGAATTGAGTCCCATACAAAGGGTGAAAAGTAAGTTGCCAGATGTAACAACTGTTTTAGTATCTACCGCTGGATCACTTAGATTGAAAGGGGAGAAATGACAATGGAAAAGGGTTAAATAGAAGAAAGGAATACGCAGAATTAAGCTAAACTAAAAGGAACCAAGTCAAAGCATGCAAACTCGGTATTTAAATACGAAAAAATACTAGAACACGTTTCTGTGCCAGAGCGTAGCTTTTTAATACATGACAAGAATCGAACTTTTTGTGATTATTGACATCAAACGGTTAAAACCATAAAGAATAAAAAAGACCCAGAGCATACAAAGACGAAATCCCTGACGTGCTAAAAAGAAAACGCACAAGTTTAGAATACGCACACGCAGATGAATTTACTAATCAGAGGATTTAATACCTATATTGTACAACTACTGAATTCAATTACATTATACCATACAGTAATTATGACAGAAAAAAAAGTTGCTATGACGGCACACCCTTCCCTCCTCCTTATATCATATAGCATCATAATAAACGCAAAGAGGGTATCAAATAAGATATATACATTAAAGCAATTCGAATAAAAAGGAAGAATAAAAAATTTCCCCTTTCCAACATGCTTTCATTAGTATCATATTTGGGAATGGAAATTTGCCCGAAATGGACACTTACTAAAATCCAGTACCAACAGCATTACGTGGAGCTGTAGATTCGTATACTTGCCGACTATTATCTTTCAACATCTTTTGAAACTTCAAAAAGCGTTCCATATCCATATCGCGAGCCTGATTGGTTGTACGCCAAAAAGATGAAGACGACTTACCCTCTAGCTTGGACTTATCCCCCACCGTCTTAGCCTCAACTTCATTCCGATGAACAAAGTTAGAATTCTCTGTAGTATTGTTTTCAGGGTCAACTGCGTATTGCTTCACAGAAGTGATAGTGCCAGCGTCATTCTTAGTGCACTTCCCAGAAAGGGTGGGCTCATCGTACACGTTGTAAGTGCTCCCTGGATACTGCATCTCCGATACGACCGGCTCCTCTGGGGCGATATTATTGTTAAAGGTGGGCTCAAATTTAACGTGATTCCCGTTTGTCTTTGACTTCACATTTCCATGATTAGCCGTCGCGGAGAGGGGCATAAACACAACGCCAGTTCCATAAGGGTGGGGGTTGTAATCTCGTAGGCGCATGTTGCTGGCCATAAATCGCGTTACGTCATCAGCTGTATAGGTACCCCCTGGACCACGCTGCGAATCGGTGCCAAGGCGGATTCCCTCTTCGGGGTTGATGACTTTTCCTGTCTCTTTATAGGCTACAGAACCTAAAGACGCGCTAGGGCATAAGTGCCGTGCCTGTACCTCCACATCGAAACAGTGGTTACAGAGATGAGATTGTTGTGGACACATCCTCTGCTGCTCACGACTCTTCTTATCGTGCCTTTGGACTAGCTGGTGTAATTTAAAGATATGCTGGTGGCTCAATTCCTTACCTGGAGGAGCATTAGCCTCCTCCTCCAAGATGTCCTTGATTTCACAAAGCGTCCCATTCAGGTCATGCTCAGCAGAACAGCGCGGCAGCGGTGTTGAACGATCACCCACGCTGTTCTGGTCAGGAGAAACGGGGACTTGGGTGGTGGCGTCCTTACTCGAGTCGCATACCTCTCCGTCGGTCATCACCCTCTCATGATCATCAAGTATGCCAAGCTTAAGACGTTCCTTGCGGAGCCGCGCCTCCTCTTTTAGACGCATCTTGTGCTCAAGAATGAGCAGCTCCTCAAGACGATCGCGGCGACGTAGGGGAAACTGCTGCGAAGCGATTGCAGCCTCCTTGGCTTCACGTCTCTTTAAACTGCTCACAATCTGCTCGTCAGGGATGAACTTGGACGCGTTCTTGGAACTGACCATGAGCGCACGTTTGTTTAAGGTACTCTGTAAGTATTTCATGTACATTTCGTCCTTGGAAAGAGATGGCACCTTCATTGAATCATTGGTATCACATGCAGCAACTTTCTTGCTACCGACTGCAAGTGTTCGCTGCGTGTTCGTTGAATTATGTTCACAGTGAGAACACCGACACTGAGCACGACACTGATTGGAGATCATAGTTATCCCTGTGAGCACGTGTTTCGTTTAGTGGATCACCTTCTTCGTTATGAGTGAAACTAGATGTCGTGCTAAATAAACTGCAACTTCGATTAATCCGTAGAGAAACCAAAAATAGAAGATCGAGGGATGTGTTAAACGAAATGCCTGCAACATAAAATTTCTTATTCTTTCACGATTGCGTTAGCATCGCCAGTATTTTCTTTCTATCAGACGGAAAAGCCCTCCTCGGACTGGTGGAGAAAAAAATAATACATCAAGCAGCGTGATGGCATGCACCCACATGCACAAGACATAATATACGCGTGTCACATCAACCCCAAATTTACTCTATAAATTACATTGATTAAAGATTCCAAAAACTATCAGAGAAAAATTTAGAACACGGGAAAGCACATTAGCGTTAAATACATGGTATAGAAAAATAAAATAATAGATGTTAGAATGCCAAGAAGAAGAGCCGGATCTAAGCTACATAAGCTACCTTCTTCTTCAGACTGCCTGCCGGGTATGTGGAAGAAGAAGTGGTCTCTTGATGTAACAAGGGTGCCACAATTGTGTTGTCTGCGGCCTTGGGCAAGGGCTTCAGAGCCTTTCCACTTGCCGAAGCCCAAATCACGCCGGCCCCTTGTGGGTGGTGCTGGCTAGTGCGAATAGACGCTAAGGTGTCCTTGAATTCTGTCCCCAGGCTATCTACGGCGGCATTCGGCTTCATGTCCCCTTTTATGCCACGGTCGGCTCCTGGTATGCTAGTCATAGAAGTGCTGTCCGGTGGTTGTATATGGTTGGCCTGCAAAATTTCTCGAAGTGCTTCCCGATTGTTAGGATTAGTAGGATCCATCGCAACCATGCGCACACCGTTAAGGGCATCCTGTAGGCGATGCGATGCGTCGCACTGTGCAACCGTCGCCACAGGACAGTGGTGTGCAAGCTGGAAGGCCTCTTGGATAGTCACTTTCTTAGTAACATCCCCACTTGAAGAAAAGCCGCTATTGTTGTTGAATGTTCCGCCGTGTCCCGTTCGAAGTGCAACACTGTCAGACGAAACATTCGGCATCATCTCCGATGATGCTGTATAACCTGGAGGAAGCGGAAGCGGGCGAGGCTCCTTTTTGGTGCTGCGCAGCGTGTTAAGACGGTCAGCTTCCAAACTTGCTGCGACGCGTTCCTTATGCTCGAGGATCAGAAGCCGTTCCAGGTGATCCAACTCTTTCATGACATCCTCCTCAGATCTCTTTTGATTTGAAGGTTCATCGCCTGAGGTATAAGACTTTGGGAGTCCCTTCAGAGAGCCCTGTGAAATGGTATACTCGTTCCCTGAAGGCACACCATTACGCCCGAGAGCCGCGTTTAAGGCGGTCTGGTTAACTGGAGCTGGGTAGTCTGGATTGAAGGTTATGTTGCCATTTCTTTTGTCGAGGGTAGTTCGGGTACCAGCATCGTGGCGGGAACAATGGCAACCGTTCTGGAACTGGCCGCGTGTGTGACAGGAAGCGAGTTGACTGACGCCAAGCTTCTTAGCATTCAAAGCGCGTCGGCTGCAGCAAAAATCGCATTGGCAGTAATTGCGGGACTGATACTCCACGCTCGACTGAGGAATCTTATTCGACATATGTGCTGAGCAGGAATTCGTCTCGGATTGTTCAATTTTTATTCTCGTTTGTAACTCAGACTGTAACGTCCAAGACTGGTTCTTTCTCTTTTAAGTTGCAATTACAAAATGAATTGCAGTTGATCCCCCCACAGCCAAAAAGAAAAGAGTTTGGAAAAATGTGGGATGAAAAGGAGATTATGCTGAGCATAGACTAGTAAGCAAGGCAATATTGCGATAGAAATTCAAATAAGACTGAGAATAGTTTCACAATATTCAAATCACTATTTTGAAAATTCCCTTCTAGTTTTCTTTTCTTTCCTCACAAATACGATGCGCAGCCGGAAACACAATGAACGCACGAAATTCATCCACTTTGTGATATAAACATTATTTGAATTAAAGACGATGTAACAACAACATGTAAGCTAACTACCAGATATCAGTAAAGGAATCCAATCGCTCAACACAACATCACATAAAACCAAGTACATTATCACAATAAAGGCAACGAGGGATGAAAATCTTGACATCTAGTCCTGTTTAGGCTCACTGCGCTTTCGAAGGTTACCTGTTACGTGCGGATCTCTAAGCTCCGGATAGGCTGATGTCGGATCGGCATGCACAGAATTAGAGGCACGAGGCTGAGGCCTCTGCGTTGTTAGAACTTCCGCCCTGGAACCTTCTGCTTCGTTTAGTGCGACATTACTACTATGGGCAGCAGAAGCAATATGCTTAGGGGAAACACTCGGATTCGGAATAAGGAGACAATACACGGTGTTCAGCCGCGTAATCAGCGTCTTCAAGGGAATTACGATTATTGGTGAACCTGTTTCTTCGAAAATCTGCCATTGTCGCATCAAAAAGCCCTTGAAGAAGAAAAAGATCACAAAGATTAATATGGTAAGCAGAATAGGGCTCGTGATTATGTACCAAAACTCGTTGAACCCCAGAATGCATATGGCTGGAATTACCCACGCTGGAAGGTGCTGTTGACCTGCTTCGATAGAGCGCATCTCGAGTTGAACAGTGAACTCACATTTTTGCTTGTATAACTCAAAGGCCCTGTCCATTGCGGATTGGTTCAACAACACACAGCTAGCGACTACGCTGTCACTGTCTGTCTCGAAATCCTCTTCACTCACTGGCGGTTCAGTAATGCACACGTGACTAGGGTACCTTGGACAAGCTTGCAATGTTGTATATTTCAAGAAAAAATCTTGCTCGCCGGAGTTTTGGCGCACAGAAACGGTGCACCGTTTGGCATTTATGTAACGTGTCAAGGGACCAAGTGAAGAGTTGGGAATGGTCCCTTTCGACTCTGCCTTCTCCTTCGCCGCCGCCTCTGACAAATGTAGGCGGAAGTACAAGAAGCAGCCAAGCTGAACAAGACCTGCCTGCTGGGCAGAAGGTACAGCCTGCATAAGACCTCTTGCAGTTGAAAAAAACTTTACAGTGCCGCCAGCGTTGTGAGACAAGCAGTGTACAAACCCGCGATGCATGGTCTCGGAAGCGTTTTCAGACATAGACGAAATGCGAAACTTTAGCTTCTTAAGAACTGCTCTAGTCACCAAGCTTACAACGTATGCTCGAGTTGCAGGATCTCGTTCAATCAGCGCTGCATGGCGGCCAAACAAGTGGGGCGATGCAGAACTGTTGTCCAACACGGCCAAGACCCGATTCACCTCGCGAGCCACTCCCTTCCAGAACTGAAACTCAAGGTCTTGGCAGCCGGCTCCGTCCATGCGGAAGGTGGTGCTGGCAATAGAAGAAGGCGATGCCGTTGTGCTACCTTCGACACCCCCCAACTCGTCCTCAGCTCTTTGACTGCTGGCCGCGACAAAGGGGAGTGCCTGGGCAGATTCAAGAAGCTGATTCATCTCGCTATCAACGGCCTTTTGAATATGTTTTTCTATGTTGTTGAGGACGTCAGTAGATATAGGTACGCACACGCGATCCAGCACCTTTATTGCTGCATTCACCATATCCTTCTCTAGCTCCATTTCGTAGGAAGCGACAACCTCACTTCTGTACAGCTTCGTCTGGCGCTCATATTCCCCCATGCAATTCACCATTTCTTCTTCTAAACACCCTGAAAGTATCATCGACGCGCCATCGCGGCGGATGCGCTCCTCACACCCCTGGCAGAACTCTTGAAAGGTTGTGAACACACTTGCTTTAGCATCCTTGCAGCGATGATAAGCAAGCATCTCCCTTTGAGTTGGAATATCAAGATCCCTGCTCTTGAGGATGGTCTCCCAACAGCTAGTCAGATACGACGGCAAGTCTTCCAACGGAACGCCACGGAACATGGACTGAGATTTGAACAAAAAATCTTCTCTTTGTGAATCACAGAACCAGCTCTGAAGTTCTGAAACACTGAGAGTGAATTCATTTTTTTGAAGCTTGAGATGTGGCATCGCAAAATATTTGAAACTGAAAAGATCAGCAATGCTGGAATCAGCAAATCGGGGCGGCTTGACGACATTCTCCCAGATTGTATCAAAAGACTTTTGGAGTGTCACCAAGCTTGGCTTGAGATCACCTTCAGTGAAGTCGCGTAGTACAACTAGTAACGTCGGCTTTTCGTCCTTCTCGTAGCCTTCATGTGAAAAAAGCTGCAAATTTATCTCGAATATGGTGCGGAGGAGGCTCAAGTTGGCAGCGTTAAAGCGACCAACGTCTACAGCCCACATGTTAAGAATCAGTGTGTCCGCCATAGAAAGGGCAAAAAGGGATAACTGACGCTCGAAACTCTGATCCTCACCGCGCTCGAGGCCGTCCGTTCCCTCAAAGTCTACAACCAGCAACGGGGCGCCCGTCGAGACTTGGCTGTCGCTGGCTCCTGATCCCAGATCGGCGCGTGAAAGAAATACTCCTTTGGTGGTTTGGCCCCGACGTACAGATTCGTCTAGCATTTGAAATTGTGTTTTGAATAAATAGTTCAGGAGCGTAGATTTACCGCTGCTTTGTGCACCGAGGACTCCGACAACATGATAATTAGCTCCAATTGAAGCCAAGGAGCGATTAGCTTTGTCATTGCTGACATCATCTTTCCAAAGAACAGTACTCAAGAACTCAGAAAGCTCCTCTTTGGATTTCAGATGACCAGAATCGTCAATCAAGTGAAGCATCTCTATTTAAATAAATAAATATGAACAAAGAGGGATCGTCAGACACGTAACACAGAAGTTGGCAAAGATACGGTAATCTGAAGACTAAAAATGAAGCTCTATTCTTCTGATTTTGCAATTGACATATTTTTTCTTACTTATTCGAGCAAAGACATAAAGAGCAAAATAATAATAGTAGAATTCACAGGGCAAACAATTGTCTCCTCCAACTCTGTAAACTGCATTAAGCCCAGAAAAGAACAGAAGAGCTCGATGCCCATTAGGCCTATCAAAATGTCTCGATTAAATTCTGTAAGTCAGTGGGTAAAACAAATACAAGTACAAAAATGTTTAAACAGTCTATATTGAATTGTTGCAATTAATCGTACAAATATATATATACTCTGATCTACATTCCACGCAAATGAGGGCTAATTTTTCCTCTCAAAATATCTACCTAATCCATCTCTTCCCTCTCCCCCACCCCCAAAACAAAAGAAGAAGACAATAAAGAGAAAGATGTGTATAATACAAAAGAAGCTGACTATTTAAAACTGTTTTCCTGTTACTGCACTTCGACTGATGGTGATGAAAGTGTCCTCCATTTTGGTGTGCATTCGGACAGTGAAACGCTCAGACTTCGCCGCGTCTCAGGTACCCGTTCGATAGCCCCAGATTGCTCCAATTGTGAAAATAGCTTCGACCGGAACTCAAGGTAGACATCGTCCGTGATAAATACCCTACGACCGTGAAATGGTGACCTTGAAAGAGATGATGATGCGTTGCATGCACGAGTAGGTGAGCCCATAGTGGGGCATTGGTTCGCTGCATTTTTCTCATCTGAGCTCGGCTTCCCAGCAACGAAGCCGCAGCTGTTGCAATGTAAAAAGTTAGTAAACTTCCCTTTCGCCAGCATTGAAACAACTTCCGCGGCGGAGGCCCGTGTGAGAGGGTACCCGCAGGAGGGGCAACACCCCTTTCCTTTATCTTCAGCCCAGAGAGCCTCTATGGGGACCTCGCTCCGGCGCGGTGAAGCTGACCTCCCGTGCCGAAGGGGAAAAGTCAGGCGCGTCTTCTGACCCTCCAAAGATTTCTTCACTGAAAGAGATCTAGTAGAACGACGTAAGGGAACACCCTTACATTTCCGCATCGGCGGCGGCGGTGCTCGTATATCTGCACTAGGAATGCCTTGAACCGTAGGAGGGGATGTCTCTCGATTTTGACTCAAAGGCTGAACACGAGAGTCGGGACGGGGGAAATAGCATGGTGACTCATGCTGGCAGCTTGAAGATTCCTGTTTCGGGTACCTAGTCTCATGCCCCTTTAGGCGACATCTCGGGCACGGCGGCGGAAACTGTTTATAGATGATCGAGGTTGTCTGATCCTTTTGCTCAATACTATCGCGCATGCGTTGAGGACGATGGAACATATTCTTTTGTGCACACTCCCTCTCGCGTAATCTGAGCTCTTCTCGGAGTTTCTGCAAGCGTGCTTCATATTCCCGATCCAACTCGTGCTGGTAGACTTTGCTCGAAGAAAAGCGAAGCATCTCTGCGGTGTTACTGCGGTATGAATTAATTGATGGCCCGAATAGAAATTTATCCTCTAAATTTCTTCTCTTCTTCAACAAACCAGCACGCGTAGCTTGGTAACGCCGCTGACGGTTTATGATGTCATCCTCACAAATTAATATTTGCTCTGGCAGACAGTACAGACATCGCCTGCTGTGCGACCCCATATCCTTAGAACGATGTCTACAGGTAAAGGGCTGTGGAGTGGAGTTATCGAAATACCTGTTGTGGTGGGAGCGCCTCGGCGAAATTTGGCACGTGCAATAATCTGAACAGCAGCATGGAGTGTTTGAAGGTGGGTTACAATCGCACCTATTCTCTCTTGAACACGTGCACGTGGCAGGCACGTCCTCATCATTGGCTTTGGCTTTGGAAGAGGCACAGTGAGTCATTCTGCTAGTAGAGTTCGATGACGCGAAGCCCAGAACTGCTGACACTGCACAAGCAGGGAAAAAAAAGGAAGTTATGCTGCGAAAGAAGGAGTAAAGTAGTATCCTAGATAAAAACTAAATTATGCTCGCCTATTAAAATCAAAGAATATTTCAATATATGTATTAACCCTACCCTATTTTCAAATAGCAAAAGGACGTGAAAGGTACTATTTTTTTCTAAGAGTACTCTGTTGGGAATTCTACATTGAACGAATCGCTTTCAGGGAAAAAGTACCGACCACAGACTTTTCGACCTCATTTATTGCTGTCCAGCTTGGTTTAAGAATAATAACATTATTCATTCAATAATATTTATAGAGGAAAATCGCGTTGATTTTTCTTTTATACTGAACTGGCTAAACTAGCTAATTTCTTCCCCCATTCCTTTCTCCCCTACATTTTATCTTCAACAATCCCTTAATACGTTTTATAAAGTTGGCCAGCAACCTTCAAGAAAATACGACAAAAAAAAAGCAAGTTCACGATAATTCACAAACGACACAGATAAAGTGGGAGAAAAACATGGAAGGAAGGGTAACTAGTGTATTTGTATTATGCTATGGACATTGCTAACCCTAACCCTGCTAGCTTTGTCTGTTTGTCACCTCCTTGGCGGCATCCGATCCCTTTTCCTTCTCATTCTCCAGCTTCTGCTCCCCCACCTGAGCACAGGAGGCTTTAATTTCCTTCAGCTCCCGAGCAATGTTACGTCGATTAACAATTACTTCGTGCAGAGCCCCCACACAGCGCGCTATGTCGGCCAGGAATGTTGAGAGTGCCCTATCGTTTGTATGGCGAATCATCTCAGTTGAGGTTTTGTGCAGGTAGATTTCTGGTTGTAAGCTAATAGCCTCCTGCAGCACCTCCAGCACGTCCTCTGAGATGGGCAGCAGACCCTTGGTCACGTCACCCAAATACTCTTCAATTTGCTGCAGAACGTCGCACAGGTGCGTCAACGAGAGCTCGCGTTCCTGGATTTTTGTTGATAATGTGGTGATTGTAGAGTCAGTCAAGTCGCGCAGAAGGTGCTCAATGCCAATCTCTTCGGCCTCCTCAGCGCCAAGATGGGTTGGGATATTGCGGAACTCTAACGATCGTGTGCCCTCTCGACCTTGCACGGTGGTGTAGGCCAGCACAGGCACCCCCTTGTTATTTGGGTCGGTCTTGACCACGCAGTACACTGGATTCGGGCAGAAGCGGTCCGCTACAAGCAGATGGAGCAGCATATCGTTGGGCTGGACAGTGGGACCGGAGGAATACCACCCAACAATTTTGATCCGTGGCAGAACACGACGGTACATGGCAAACATCTCCTCCGCGTAGTTGATGTCGAAGAACCACACTTCGGGATTGTTAGCATCCTCGTCAAAAGGAACAGCAAAACTGTTGTTGATATCGAGAGTCTGAGTGTTGTCAGAGTTCCGTTTGTAGCGTCCCAAGAGCAGGCCCATTACACGCTTTTCGTGGATTGCTTTGCTGTTCATGCGCGCGTGATGATCAACAAGGGACAGTAGCACCAATGGGTGCACTTCGACACGCGCCGCCACTGGGATAAGGGGTTTCAGGGTGGTCTCAGGTTGGTGTTGCTTACCGTTTTCTAGATCATCCTCACCACCATCTACATGATTGTGGAGCGCACCATCTGCGTCAGCTGAATTTTTTGGTGGTTCATTGCCTCCCATCGCCACGTATCTAGATGTCTGTTGTTGTTAAGTTAGATGAGTAAAAAAAAATAATACTTCTTCCAAGCGTATCCGAGATAGTTAAGGAAATAGATAAACCACACACACACACACACACACACATACGTGTGCACTTTCCCACTCTGGCATTTCAGTAGGAATAGAACAACCATAGTCAAGACAACAAACAGTGGGTATAAAAAAAAAATACATTAAACAAGAGATGTATTTTTGCTACCCAGTTATAGTCTAAGCTTGACCTGTTACATAACTCTTTCTAAAGACGTGACACAAGATGCGCATTATTCGCAGTATTGATCTATGTATTATTAAATTTCGTGTATTCGGTCTTAGTTTATTTCATGAGTTCCGCATCCCTAACCATTTATGACGATTTTCTTTCCCTGCTGACTCCATTAGAAAAAGGTATATATACGCCCGTTAAAGTTTGATGTGTTTCTATTGAGGAATTCAACTTTATCTCCCGTGTTAAGGGTTCCGGAAATAGCCTTACGTCTCCAGGTACTGCTTTAGACGCTTCTGCATGTACGGGAATCTTATTCATAAAACATCTAAACCAGGAAGATGTAATATTTATAGAGAGAACTCCATATGTTGCTAGACCTAGGCGCAGTATGCCGGGCTCTACAAAACAGCCATCGGCACTAAAGTAATGAAAACTCATGTATAAACATAAACCAAAATATAAATACGACTGGCAAGAATAGCACAAAGTAATAGCTCGAGCGAGCAGTGTCCTTCGGTTATCCAACCCACAAGAGCGCATTAAATTAAGTACACTGATGACAGATTGCATTAGGTAGCCCAGAAAAGTAAAAAGAATATTAGCAGGAAGAAGTGTGCGACTAGCATGCCAGAAAAAGAATAGCTCCATCAGCCGGCTATAGATATGCGAAAATGTGAAAGGCTTCTTCTGAAAACAGAGGAAAGCAGTCTCCAACAGCTTAAGCATTTTTAACACAATAAATGCGAAAATCCAAAAGGCGGAATTGCCGTTGTAAATAACAAAGTTGTTGGACTCACAGGCCATTTCGTGAAGTGATCGAGACGGAAAAAGACTACCTAGCATCCTTGCGCAAGTAAGAGTCCCCGCCATGGAAAAGACAGCGAGCACTAAATTCCAAAGGCGCACAGGGCCTGTAATTTTGAATGACTCCCTCTTCGCCATAAACTCGTGGCCAAGCATAAAGAGTATGACGTATATTACGACCACATACTGAACTACGTCAGTATTACTACGAACAAAGAGACTAACATGCTCACTTTTAAGTCCATATATGACGTTTTGGATAGTTCCAAAAATCATATTCATAGACGTTATCGTCGGCGGTAGTGGGGCTGATTCTTGTTGTTAGTATCTCTTTTTCCTTCCGTTTGTACGATTAGAATGTTATTTTATTGTCAATAAATATATTTCATACAAAACACTACACTGAAACTAATGGACAGTTATATTTAAGCAAATTATATATATATATATATATTTATATACATATATATATTTATATATGTATATGCGATTTTCGGCGAAAAATAAAGGCCACAACAATGCACTACAAAATAAACTAAAAAAGAGAACTGCAGAAACTTGTTTAAAAAAAGTAGCAAAAAGTGTTAACTATGATTTAAGAATGAAAAAACGACAATAATGTAGAAGAAATAAGTTACGCTAAGCTGAATTCCAGAACAACAACACTGCTCAACCAAACGATGGAAGCCAAGAGCTACCTTATGGCCGAAGCCTACACTTTTTAATCCGAAATTATTGCTTTACAATCGTACTTATATATCTTTCCATTCTTTTTTTTTTTGCGAGGGTCGCTGGAGCTACCCAGTGCTGAGTATACTACATTCAAGCTCCACTCTCTGAATAACATCACACTCGTTCACAGATAATTTTGTCCCTTTTTTCTCAAAAACACCAAAAAAAGGCACACGTAGAAGGTGCTATATCACATTGTGATAGCCCATTGCTTTGTTACTTGACACACAACATCAGTCTTATTGTTATACCTTATTTATGTGCTTAATGGGCACATATTTGCGCAAAGTGTTATATAACCAAAAAACAGCATTCACCATGTGAGTAGAAACTAAATAAAAGAAAAATTTAAACAGAAATTGTATGGACTTTTTTCTCATTCGTACCATAATTTAGATGTAAAAAACTACTATTAAAAAATAAAATAATGCATGCCTTCAATTGAAAACTTGCCACTCTGGGTATTGCTATCAGCAAAAACGAGAGCATTCTCTTGGCTATTTTCTCATCACTTCCCTTAAAAGTATTATATACTGCGAAAATTATTGAAATTGAAAAGAAACAAACAATAAAAAGCTGTGTCACGTATATAAAGAGGCCACGCCCTTTACGAAACAAAAATAGAGCCAAATATTATATCAGATGTCCCTGAAATTTTACATACACTGACTTTATTTCCCTTTCCCACCTGTATTCTATTTAAAGCAAAACATTCGCAGCAAATGAAGGATAAACTCTAGCACATACCTCTTCCCAAAAAAAGAAAGGTTCCACGATAAAAAAGTGAGAATCAAAGGAAAGTCCTAAAATATGCTAAATTGCAAATGTATTACGATTATTTTTTATGCCTTAGAACAAAAGAATGCAGAGGGATTGGAATACTCCATAAATTTATTTACAAGACAGGTTATATTAGTCATTGACTCAACATTTTAAAACAGCAACTAAAAATGATTTTACCTAAAATAAAAAATAGAATATTTTCTATGGTATTTAATTCGTATCCATCAATCTCATTTTTAGATGCCGCAGTATCACAAGAAAAAAATGGGAAAAATAGATTAACAATAAGTCATCCGTATGAAAAGCTCTTAGGATTATTTCATCCTTTTGTTTAAAGAGAACAAAAGAATATCATCCTCCATCTTACATCTTCGGTCTAATTGGAAAATTATCTTGCCACCTCTTAGGGCAGTTATAGAGGCTTATCTCCCTGGGTAGTAAAAACTAACAAAAAGGTAAAGAAGAGGAGAGAAATACAATCAAAAAGGGACTGAAACTGATGGAAAAATGAAGAAAAACGTCACGTGAAACGACTTAAGCCTCAGCCAGTATTGCATCAAGATGAAACCCTGATTAAAATATCATAGCGAAAAGAAGAGCTAGTGAATATAAGAGTACGGCACATTTACTAGTAAACGTTCTTAAAGAACACATGGGTAAATTATTTTAAGCTTAAGATTTATTTTGTTAGAAGATGAAGGAAATAATGCAGAAAGCGAAAACTTGGGCAAACCACACAACTGTTTTGTTCTACAAAAAGAAAAGAATATGAAAATGAAGATAATTGCAGAAAAGCGCCTCAAATGAGCGAATGTTACATACCACAGCATCAAATAAGAAATTGATTCAAGTGATGTTGGTGCTGTTGCTTTCTAGTGTTGAACTCTTTCCGTTGACACTTAATGCACAATAAGTATATTGGTGCCAGAAAGCTATACAACTAATGTTGAAATGGTCTAGAAGCACGCACACATGGAAACTGCTGATGTATAAAAGAATGTCTTCCATTCCAACTCTTTTTCTTTTGTCTAGTTCCCTTGTTTTTTTGTTTGTAATCAACAACTGCTTCTCGCTGCATCATTTGTATAAATCTACTCTCGATAAACGCTACAATATTGAAATTTATATTTCTGTTTCGCCGTTTATCTTGATAGCGATAATGGAAAATGATCCTAATGGGTAATACTCGCGTAAGTACTGTGAAGTTTTTCCTATATTTATTTTCTTCCTTGGTGTTCATTCATTTTATTGTACATTCTCTGTTAGACACCATGTGATCGGTCTTATCTTGCTGAGTATTCATCTTTAGAAGAAACAAACTTCTAGGAAAAATTGAAGAACTACACAGAAGATTTTATGTGTGTTTTCCCATAGTGACAAATTTAGTTTTATATCTTTATTTCATGTTTTTTTCTAATACTCCCCTCCCCCCATAAGTATCGACGGCAATGCCTTTTTCCTTGAGCAAATGAGTTTCTTCCTCACTTTCCTTAGATACGACACTGTTGATTAACTTCAAGCATTACCCCAGGGGGAATGGGAAATGTTTAATTCACACAAAAGAAAAACACTGTCACAAGCGAAAAAAAGTCGAAACACACAGATAGAAAATGCGAATTTTGCATTTCCTCCACATGTAGCCAGCGAAAATCAATCACAAAGGCAAAAGAAGGGAAATCTGCGTAAAAGAAATCCTATTTTCTTACTTTATGCGATTTTCGCATCTTCAAAAGTAAAAAACAAGTAACAAGATAATGGATAAAATAATTTGTTCGCTCACTCGAAGATTTTCAGAGAAGGGGTCAAGGGAAAAAAAGGAGACTCTCCACACCGTAAGAAAAAAGAAGTACCCAATGGGCCCTTTCTAATTCTCATCTTGATATAGAGCTTATTCGCGGAAGAATCTACTATTTGGTAGGGAGACACTCTACGGGAGCTGACGGCATAATATATACATATATATATATATTATTAATCCATATAAAAGAACACCTGTTTCGGACTAGTTTGTATAAAAACTCCCTTTTTCTCTCATATTGCATTACGGCTGGATGCATATATACCAAGGCACATTAACGCATCATGTAGCGATTCACATTGAAGACATTATGGTACAATAAAAACAACTATGTTGTTTTTCATTATTATTATGGCTATAATTAGCCTTAATGTTATTTAAAAAAAATTAACAATTAACAAAGAGAACGCCTTCAACGCATTTTCTATTCTTTAGAATACGCTCACTCCGTTGAACACTCTGCAGCAATGCAAGGCGACCAACTCAATTGACAGCCACAAAAGACAAATGCTTTACTAATAAGGGCACCACTTTCATTTCGCTTACCACACTATCGTGCAACTTGTTGGGACCTTAGTACTTCTGATTCTGTTGTTCGCGCTGCCCAAATACATTGCTGCGCATATTATTGAATCCAACACCACCGTTCATATTGTGATAATCCTCCCCGCTGCCAAAGTTATCTCCGCGGTTAAAAGCCCTGTGCCCAACACCACCTCCTTGGTTTCCGTTATAGTCGCCATAGCCCCCTCGGTTCCCCCACCCGCGGAAATAGCCACCCCCACGAAAGAAGTTGCGTTGTCCAGAAGGGCCACCGCTATTCCTAAAGCCATTGGAAAAGCCACCACGGCCGCGAGCGAAGTTGCTCTGAGCCATATTAGTATTATTCGGTTTTTTAGCAAGGGCTTGGATCTGTGGTAGGACATTCTGATTAGTTTCATTAAGCAGAGGAATGAGGCTATTAACAATGTTACGGTTTTTTTCATTGAAGAAAGAGACAGCCGTGCCCTGCTTCCCAGCACGACCAGTACGGCCGATACGATGAACGTAGTCATCAATATTGCTCGGGAGGTCGTACTGGACCACAACCGCAACGTTGGGGATGTCGAGACCACGAGAAGCCACATCCGTGGCAACCAAAACGCGGTAGGGTCCATTTTTAAAGGAACTTAAGGCTTCTTCACGCTCTCGTTGCACACGGTCACCGTGGATGCTCGCGCAGGCGACGCGATTCTGGCGAAGAAAACGTTCCAGATAATCAGCATCACGCTTCTTCTCAACAAAGACCAAAACGCGCTCGCCTTCATGCTGGTGCAAAAGTGAAAGAAGTGTGTCTCGTTTTTCGTTGTCCTCTACCCAACGTACGTCCTGGGTGATGCTCTCCGTAGTCGAGCCAATGCGGCCAACTTGCAGAAAATAATGGTTGTGCAGGAACTCACGAGCCAACTGTTGGATTTCCTTCGGGAAAGTGGCAGAATAGAGCAACGTTTGGCGGTGTCCCGTTCGAGGCATGTCGCTCTCAGAGCTCTGCACAATCTGACGAATCTGCGGCTCAAAGCCCATGTCTAGCATCCGATCAGCCTCGTCAAGTACAAGGAAGCGAACACCAGAAAAACGGGCATAGCCTCGAGAATAAAGATCCCATAGACGACCTGGAGTGGCCACAAGTAGACCACAGCCACGCATAAGCTCCTGAATCTGATAGCGTGGGTCGGCGCCACCGTACACAACTACGCACCGGATACCGCTGCGATACGTAAACTTCCGACCTTCTTCGTATATCTGGATCGAAAGCTCTCGTGTGGGTGAAAGCACAAGGGCAGAAGGCTCAGCATGGTTACTGCTATGTTGAGAGCGATTTAGGTTGTTTACAAGCATGAAATTAATTGCGGGTATTAAGTAGGCAGCGGTCTTGCCGGAGCCGGTCTGAGCGCAAGCCATGAGATCCCGCCCCTTAAGAACACACGGAATCCCGTAGCGTTGCACCGGAGTGGGTTTAGTGTAGCGACAACGCGCCACGTTGTCGTTAAGGGCAGGTGCAAGATTCATACCGACGAAGGTATCACAGGGTTCCGTGTCGTTTGGCGTAAGCATGACCTTAATGGCTTCGTAAAGATCGAAGTTGATACCAGGCGTATGTTCCTTAAAGATTTCCTCTTCCGGCTTCTCCTCACGATGGTAGTGAGAGCCACCCCCACTGCCACCCGCATAGCCTCCGTTCGCAGAGTAGTGCGCACCGCTTGGGCGATGGAAGGCACCACCAGCATCGCCAAACCCATTGCGATGGTTTTGGTACCCGGGCATCTCCGATCGAAAGTTCTGGCCGCCTTTGAAGCCGGCGCTACGGTATCCGGCGCCTCCACCCGTCGTATTGCGGTGTTGGTAGCTGTCACTCTGCTCAACGTTCTGGTTGTTCATGCCAGATCCAGAAGGATTGTTATGGTTTGGGCGGTGAGGGTAGTTAGCCGAATGGTGTTGTTGTGAACCATATTTTTTGCCCAGTGTCGCATTCGAATAGAATGTATTCATTTTATAGTAACAACAAGGATATAGATATATATATGTAGATATATATATATATATCTATATATATATATATATAGATATATATGTATATGTATAACGATTTTAAAGAAAACTAATACAAAAGAAAATAAGCTTACTTGATAAATGGGGAATCATATATATATATATACATATATATATATATTGGGGGGGAGGGGGTCAATCAAATGAAGAAAGGGGGATATGTAGTTGAATTTTACAACATAATGAAAGAAAAACATCTTGGACATGCATGCAAGCTGCAGAATACTTAACTCTCTACAAATTATAAATAACAATAACGCGTTTGATATTAAAGAACTGATCTGCATCTGTATTGTACAATATGACAACATTCTGTCTGAATTCCCGTCCAAGATCGAGAGACAGTCTAAAAAATAAAGCTGAAATTAAGAAGATATCTCTTGGTAAGTAGGGGAAAAATGATGACACGGAAATATCACCCCTCCGCCATAACAAGCATCGTCTCTTGAAAGCGCGCACAAGGATCAGCGATTTTGCAGAATTGATCGTTGGTATTACACGGTTGAACACGTACCGCAGGTTAGTCGTAGAATAGACTAAAACTGTATTTCTCCTTGAGAATAAATCCCTCACCACTAATTGGTACCTTCATGAAAAAAAATTCGGGCACGTTTTTAAAAAGCTAGATGGTAAATATACTCAAATTCACGCATTCCAGTAAAGCGAGTAAACTAGCAGATCACAAGCCTTCGAGAACCATGCACATATTGTGACAAATGCATACAAAGGTTATAATCTAGTCAAACAAATTTGAAAAAGGAACTATAACCCAAAAATCGGAGGAAAAATTTTCTTATAGATCTAATAAGATGATGTCAAATTCATTTATTCAAAACAAAACGCCAGCATCCGAACAAAGCAATCGATTCTAACATTGTAATGATGTTAAAGTAATAGAAGATATTGTTTACATACAAGCACACAAAAACAAAGAACCAAAACATATTACCAAACCACTTTTGCTTAGTTCGCATGGCGCTTCCATCGCTTACCTTTTGCAGTCGTCATGTCTTCCCGCACACGCTCCACCTCAGTGCGGTAAGGTTCCCATATCTTCAAGAACATTCCCTCTAACGCGGAAAACATAGTTGGCTCCAGTGAACGTAACGCACAATAGCGTGCATCAACGAGGGAATATGACAACGATGGGGAAGCAAATGAAGGTCGGTCAGCCTCTTTCCGTTCAACATTTTTTATCTTCTTTGTGTCTGCATTGATAGTGTTGCCCAAAGATGTCACACACTCACGAGGCTCATAATTCACCTTGAATAATTCTTCACTAATGGGATGCGTCGCAATTACGTGATTAGCAAGGGCAATGTACATTTCGCAAAAAAGGCTTTCCTTGATGGGAACTGGTCCCCCAGGCGCCCAGTGTGTGGCGCCATTTGGGTCCTCGCCTTCAAGGGTGCGCCGCACAGAAGGCGGGCGAGGGCACCAGCCACGGTTGATGGCACGCGCGAAGTACCTCACGGCCTCCGAGAAGTGGTTCCGATGAAAGGTCCCGTTAGCAAGAATGAGCAAAGCATCGGTGATGGTGTGTGGATCACAAACTTGAGGAGTGGCGAACGCGCCGCGGTCCTCAAGCGTTTGTATTGATGAAGCTAAGCAGATGCCATTAGAATTACCTGAGGTTTGTAAGAAGCTGCGATAATCCTGCAAAGAAGCTTCGTAGTCTTCTCGAGAACCTTTATGAGCGAAGCGCACCCGAAATGCCTCAGCTCGCTTCATGAAAGCTTTTGGGGTACACTGATCATGCGGGTTGTCTGGTGGGAGGTCAATGACGAGCGTAAAATCTCTAATCGCCCGTTCAAAGTTGCCTAACATCTCAGAGTACACTGTTCCACGTGTGAGTAATGTGATGCGGCGCGGCGAAAAGCCTTGCGCACGGTCCAGCGCCTCAGACAAGGCCTCAACCTCACCGAGTGCGTTATTGCACAAATGATGAATATGCGCAACACGCAAACAGTACTCCGCCTTGTCCGGCCGCATTCGCTGGAGGTGATGCAAAATGTGAAGTGCGAACGCATAATCCTTCGAAGCTACTGCGCAATCAAGCGTGCTCTCATAAGATTCAATAAAAGAAGGGTTGGTCAGTGCAGTGTCGAAGTGCACACGAGCCTTCTCATCAAAGAAGGCAACCATATTAATATCTGCGGCAGAAGAATTGATAGCCTCAGCGCGTACCTCACAGAGACAGCCTAGGTAGAAATTGGCGTGGGCGACGTAATAGGCCGCCATCTCAGTAGTGATGCCATCCTCCTGAGGATATGCCATCATTGGCTCCGCCAAGTCCAAAAGCTGAAGGAGATGATGCTCAGCTGAATCGAAGATGCCAGCTTCAAATGCACACTTGCCGCAGTGAGCAAGCACCTCCAAAGAGGGTGTCTTGAGCTTCATATACTTTTCGAATTCCTCGTGAGCAGCACATGGTTGGCCGAGCCGCTCATAACAGGACGCACGCAAAACGTAGATGTCAGGCATAAACGGATTCGCATCAAGACTTGAATTGAAAAGCTCCAACGCCCCCTCAACCTCATCGAGAATTAGTGATACCGTCCCAAGCTTTCTAAGCACTTCTGCGACTTCAGTCGCGCAATCCGTCTGTGCGCCCGAAATCGCGCGAGATGAAGTCAGCTCCTTAATGGTAAGGCCGCCTTTCATGTTTTGGAGACGTGTGAGTGAGTGTTGAAGATACCTGCGTGCTTCCTCATAGTTGCCCTCACACATAGCCAAGTCTGCCTTAGCAATGCAACAAGCATTTGAGAACTCATTGTGGCTTGCATCCAACTTTACCGACGAGAGAATAGAGTTGAGATTGATGCGTGCTGCAAATGGGATGCCTTGCGTTCCACCATAGCGGTCAGAAAAAGTGTGATAGAGTGGTGGTTCGTACTTGCTGTTTAACAACGAGCGCCAGTAGTCCTCCACCAGCTTACGGCTTTTGTTAGTGTGAGGAGATGCATTTGAATCGTTCTTGGGAGCAGCTCTCCTTCTAGCTTTCATCATGGGTAAATACAAAATATATATCGAGCTGTCTACATGCGAGTTTTCTTTCAAAATCAGGAGGGATGAACAAAAAAGGCAGATACATCTACACGACATCCATATGAAGCAAAGCAATAGTGGTAGCAGTGACAATAATAAAAAATACACTGAAAATAAATCATGTGAAAAATTTCATTGAATAGTATACATGGATATCACAAAAGTATAGTGTTTTTGACATATATATATATATATGAAATGACATTTCGTGAGAAGCGTGTGGTTGGCATTCTACCAACTACTGACCTGAGATCTATATTTACATAAATAGATACCTCAGCCAATTGCTCTGAGAGCATAAGATTTCTGAGTGAATACAGAAATAAAAACCTGCATTAGATATTAAAATGAACAATTCGCGCTCATTTTCCCCAGATCAGTAGTAGCTGTCATTTTGTGATATCCTCCTTCCATCTTTTTGATTGGAATTCTAATTCAATGGATGGTGTAGACCCTTCATTTAATAAAGGATAACTTGGGTTATAAAGAGGATTGTCTACATGGTTATGTCGAAGGAAGATTCCACTGCATAGTCAATCCACGTAAGTCCCTTGCTTTGGAACTCCCTTGATCGACGTTCGTTTAGTAAATCGCGCTCCTTCTTCAAAATGGAGTCGTAGTTCATAAGACTCACAGGGGGGATAAAGTTTCTCAAGGTACCATCGGCAGCAATGGGCTGTTTGTCTGGATCATCCTCAATAGTTCCAAGGACAGAAATGTTCTTGCTCCACTCCCCGTATAGACGCTGCTGTCGGTGGACATAGTGCCATAGGCCGGGCCCCTCACGCATGCCCTGAGACCAATAGCCCTCAAACCAATCCCCTTCCACGGTGAACAGCACTGCCCAGCCCTCTACCAAGCCGTGCTGAAAGCTACCTTCAATTCGGTCACCATTGGCTAGGTACAACTTACCTTCTCCGTGACGGCGATCTTCTAAAAACCCTCCAGTGTACACATCCCCATCTTTGCACCACTCCGTGCCGATGCCGTCGCGCTTGCCTGCAAGCCACTCCCCTTCGTAGACCTTTTTATAGGTTTTATCGCTGGACTGCTTGTCTACCAATTTTAGGAAAAGTGTTCCCATACCCTCACGTTGGCCCTTCCGAAACTCACCACGGTACTTGACATTGGCATAAATGTGCTCGCCGAAGCCATCAAAAAGACCATCCGCCCACTGCCCTTTATACGTAGCTGTTTTTTTAGCGTTCAGATACATCTTTTTGCGATCTCCGTGGGTAGCGGCGCCGACTAGTGGATAACTTTTCGTCAATCTCTCACGGCTGGACCGCTTCAGGTCCTCCTCGTATTGCTCCTTGAAGTGCATTTGATTGTGTTCGAGAAAGTTAGTATCGCCCCAATGCTTAAGCCTTTCACGAAGACGAAGCAGCTCCTCTTCATCTTCGGTTAATGGACGACCGGAAGCCACAGCAGATTCCAAAGTATCCACGACCTCTGCCCCACCTATGCTACGCTCCAACTTCCTAAGGTCGCGAATCAGATGTCCTTTTTGAGAAATCGTGACGACAGGAATACAGGAACACTCGAGCTTGTGAAATAGCTGTAGATTCTCCAAAGTTTCCACGGTTTCAGCGTATGACAGCAAACTAACACATCCAACGATAAAGGAAGCCTCATGACCGCTAACAAATTGTGACATGATTTGCGAGAAGCGACAGCCCATAAAAAAGGACTGGCTGCGCATGATCAGCTTGTATAAATCTTCTTGAGTATGCACTTGATGCATTCTTCGTTGTCGATACTCTAAGGAATGTATAACGCCAACATAGAGTAATAGTAGACTCACGTTGATGTTGCTGCCTTCTTGAAGCATGTTTCCCCTAAGACCCATTTTACCCACACATCCTGCCCCCTTGGTGTGTACGAAGGTCATTTGACGAAGCACGCAACTCTCACCACACGCTTTATCCGTGGTAGTTATAGAAAGTTGGATAAAGCTGTGCCAGTTGATTGCGCGTGCCTCTGGACCTTGGGTGCATCTTTCCTTAGCTTCATTAAGAAGTACTTCAAAGTCTTCGTAGGATTTAACACTAAGCTCCTTTAGATTTGCTACGTACAGTCGCCCGAATCGGTCACGAAAAATACTTGCTGAGGTGCCAGGCATGTCGCTAGTGCATTCACAGCAAGCGCATGATGCAGAATCCTCCTTGGTGTCCTCACTGCTAAGGCAGTCCATCATGCGATCCCGATGCATTAGCCAGTACCGCATCAAAACTTGATACTCATGGGTCGTGCTCTGCCTCTCCAGACGGTTAAATAACTCCCTAACGGTCGCTTGAATCAACCCTTCCTGGTTGGAATTTCCAAAAAGAGCATCATTTTTTCCAGTACCAGGCATCCCTAAGATTACACAATTTGTGCTTCGGCCGTGCATCGCCAACTCTACCATCTCCATACCAATAGTTTTGCAAAAAGACTTCTGACCACTATTTTGGGGAAAATAATAGTCGTAGTCGTACATAAGACCAGCGGATTCATTGGGTACAAAGGCAACAAGCTTATCCTGCTGGACCTGTAATTTTATTTTAGTAGAGGATAAATCCGATTCTTTGGTTTCACTCTCGCGAATAGCCACACGAACATGGTCAAAATTTGGCAACAGAGCTCCTTCCTCCTCAGGTTGATGCGAGAACATTGAAGCAAGATGGAATAGATAGATGGCCTATCTAAATCACAAAAACAAAAAAAGACGCGTGAAGGGGAAAAAGGAGAATGTACTGAGTATCTCAGCCGTCACGACCCATTTTGATCAAAACACTTATACTGTAATTGATAATGTACATGGATAATTTTTTTCTCAAATAAAAATAAAAGAAATGATGGTATTTAATCTCTTATACGGTGATGCCAAAGAAGAACTATTACTTCTTGGGAGCACTCTTGGGCACTGGCACGCGTTCCTTCTTCTCAGACATGAAAAGCTGCACGTGGCACGGGCTGCACATGTACGGTGTGATGCGGCCATGCGCACGGAACGTACGGCGACGCATACGAGCGGCCTGATCGACCTGGACATGCTTAATAATCATCTTGTTGGGGTCCAAGCCCTTTTCAATCGCATTCGCCTCGGCATTCTTGAGCAACGAGAGCATAGCAATAACAGACTTGCGCGGCCAGCGGCCCTTGGTCTGCCCCCACTCCTTCGCCTGGGCTGTGCGACCAATCTTGCCATTGTAGCGTTTGAACGGGATGCAGCGAGTCTTGGCCAAAACTTGGCGGTAGAGCTGCTGCGCCTTACGCAGGGGCATGCCATTGATGACGTTGGCAGTCTCAAAGGTGTTCTTGAAGTGGCAACGAAGGTCACTTATCTTGGCCTTCGCGCTCTTGGAGGACACCTGGGGCTTACGCGAATAGTGCACCATTTTCTCTGACCCAAAGAAAAGAGATTTACTTCAAAGACAAATTCGAAATAAAAAGACGAAACAGTCGAAGGGAAATGAAACAAATTTGTTGTGTAATTAAACTCAGGCAGAAATTTTGCACCAATATTAGTGATCATCAGAAATAATGAGCTATAATGACAAATACAAATGTGTATTTTAAAGGATTCTGATTGTTAACAAACACACTGGTCGCTTAGCCATGGTTAAAATAATACACACAATTAAAGATATAAAGGGAGGGAAAGCAGTCTCGAAATGACTCATCTACGGGTGGAGCACATTCATATTTCTTGGAGTATTGAAATAACAATGAGTGATAATCAAGTAATGGCACTGAGCAAATTGATCGCTTGCTTACCTCTCTTCTCTAAGCACTTAATCTAATTCTTTAATTTTATAAAGAAGGACTTGCAGAGTGGAATCAAGCGCAATGCAATGGGTTCCAGACGATGCACTAGCAAAGGAGCAACACCAATAGTAAAAGCGAGATGCAATGGAATCAGAATTTTGTTTAGCACAACAGATAACAAAAAGGTTCCCCAAAAAGGTGATCTCTCGTGCTTCTTACCTTGTACTACATCGTTTTTTTTATCTGATATATTAAAACCATAGGAACGTGCCAAACCCGGAAGATCAATACTAAAGAAATACATACATGTAAAGACAATAGCAAAGCCAATGTTATGTATGATTAAATATAACAGAAAGCCACCAGCACCGTAGGCAGTGAGCTTCTGCCTCAGAGACAAGCTTGACCGACCACTTGAAATATTTAACCCGTTATCGTTACTCTCAGTTGATGTGACGTTGGACAGATGATGCACGACACCATGTCTATCCACATGAAAACCGTTTTTGCTATAATAAAGCGGAAACTGCGTAGCAAACCCTTCCGGAATTTGAAACGTCGTCTCGTTTGTTTCGACGTTGTGATAATATGGCTTTCCATGTTCCAAAGAATAGTGCTCCCTCCAGCAAATCAGCGAGTCAACTGAAGACAATGACTCGCGTTTATTCAGTTTAGCAGAAGAAACCTGAAGAGGCCCTATAACTTGCTGCGCCAGCTCGACGCCTGGCAGCACGCTTAAATCTCCGCCAGACGCGATACTATCCTTGCCAAACGACTTTATCTCTTTTTGTGACCCCAATGATGCTGAATTTTTATTTGACGTAAGGAAACGGCTAGTCATGGTCAGCCGCCGCGTAGCCACAACAAATACTAAAGATGATTGTCGAAAATAGCGCATGAGTCTACACAATATTAAGAGTTTTCCGTTTAATTATAATAATAATATTACTTAAACTAATATTGAGCTGCTCAATTTTTTTAGAAAGGCGCGGTAACTATATAAGGGAAAAACTGACACCTACTTTCGTATATAACTCCATACAATACGAAATAATATGATTCTTCAAAGGGAAACGAAAAAGAGAAAAATATTAGCGAATCTAGCGATGCATGTGACGAGTGAGTAAAACTATACCAGTTTGGAAAGGCTTGAATGACGCTGCCCTAATTTAAAACGAAAATTCGAGTAAAATAATGAAATAAATAATTTATGACAGATTGACTAGCTCATCTCTAAGAAAATATCAGATAGCCTATACAGCAACCTTTGTGGACGCCGCAGCGAGAAACTCAGAGTACTCGTCTGTGGGGTCGCGCTGCGCCTCTGTCTCCGCCCAGAGGTCCGGAGTGAGGAAGCCGTAGGTCTTACGCAGAGCATAGAAGGTGGCCATAATGAAGTTACCCTGCGTACGCGTCTTGCCACAGGAGCTGGTGTACACATCCTCTACACCGGCAAACTCAAGGATCTTGCGGGGCACAGGTGCCGCGACGATGCCGGTACCGCGCGGGGCAGGGACCAGACGCACCGCCACAGAGCCGCACTTGCCGGTGACCTTCATTGGGATGGTGTGGGGTTCGCCGATTTTGTTACCCCAGTAGCCGCGGCGCACCGGGACGATGTTGAGCTTGGCCGCAATCATCGAAGCCCGAATGGCGAGAGAGACTTCCTTGCCCACACGGGCACCGATCCCGATGTGTCCGTTTCCGTCGCCCACAACGTTGAATGCCTTGAATCGGGTGCGCTGGCCAGCAGAGGTGGCCTTCTGCACTGGGAAAATCTTCATCATCTCATCACGCAGCTGGCCTTCGGCGATAAGGTTGTCAACGATCTGGTGCTCCTTGATGGGCATCGAAAAGAGGAAGATCTGCTCGAGACTGGTGATCTTACGCTCCTTGACGAGACGGCCGAGCTTGGTGCAGGGCACCCACTCTTTATCATCACCACCCCGACCCCCACGTCCACCACGATCACGCCCACGCCCAAAGCCACGCCCACGAGGAGCTGCAGCAGGCGCCGTATTGTGTGTATTTGCGTCAGCCATCTTGACTAGCCTTGTGGTATTTAAAACAAGTGGTGGAAAAGAAAATGCATATTTTATTGGATTTGGGGAATGAAGCAGCGTAGAAAGTAATGAAATACTGTATAAATCATGTACACCGCTAGTGCTTTGTTACTTGACTAGCTAGCCTTTTTCATCAAGGAAGTAAAATATTTAGAATCATAAACATGCGCCCTGGAAAAGTAAATCATTTTCCAGGAATTATAAAACCCTATTGATATATAACTTTTCCCAATGGTTTCCTTTTATTTATTGATAATAACGATCATAGTGTTGAAAAAAAAAAATGGGTTACGCAAATATATTTGATCTGTGTAAAAAATTAAGGCGTAACAATAGTAGAAGCGAAGTGCAATTAATCTAGTAACGGTCGATTAGTCCATGGTGCATTACTTTGTAGGAAAACATAGACTATAGTTAAAAGAATTCAGAAGGATCTGGTCCAATTCGCTTTCCCTCGTCCATGGAATTCAACAGAGTCATACTCGAATCATCCAATACGAAATCAAACACACCAAAGTTCTCGTTAATGCGCTCCGGTTTGATAGACTTGGGAATCACAACAATGCCCAACTGCAGCATCCAACGGATCAAAACCTGAGCTGGTGTGCGATGATATTTCTCCGCCAACATTGTGACTGTCGGATTGGAAAGCAACTTTCCATCCCCAAGTGGGCGCCACCCTGTTACGATGATATTCTTTTCTGCGCAGTAGGCCCTCAACTTCGCCTGCTGTAATAAAAGATGAATCTCGACTTGATTCACCATCGGAGGGACAGTACAAATCGACAGGATGTGATCAATGTGGTCAATATTGAAGTTGGAAAGGCCGATAGCACGCACTTTCTTTTCATTGTAAAGCTTCTCAAACGCACGCCATGTCTCAGTCAAGGAATTCATATCTTTCCCTGGCCAATGAATGAGGTACAAATCAACATAGCTTAGATCAAGAGCAGCGCGGCTGCGCTCGAATGCGGCAAGGGCCTTTTCGTAACCATGATCTGAGTTCCATAGCTTGGTGGTTATGAATATTTCCTCGCGAGGCACCCCGCTTTCTTTTATTGCCTTACCAACAAAACTTTCATTTTGATAGTAAAACGCCGTGTCGATGAGACGAATGCCAATCTTGAGTGCGTGTTTTACGGCATTCTCCGCATCATTATTTTCTGACTTCCACGTACCAAGTCCGAGTTGCGGCATTTTGACGCCGTTATTCAGAGTAAGAAACGGAACTTGGTGAGACAACATGGCTTATGGGCTACTTAATTTTTAGAGCTTGAATTTCTTAATATAGGAGCTGAAAATAAATAGTGCTTTCAGCACATCAACCTCAATGGAATGGTTAAATTTAAATGCAATTAAAGCATAATACTAGTTACGCTCAAAAGCCCCAGGTCTTCAAGAACATTTAAATCTCACGCAATTATTTGAGACAAAACATCGGCAACAATAGTGTTGAATCGAACAAATAATACGTATGAATAGTGAGCATAATTACATCAACGGAATTAAGGATACATATAGACTACAAAGAGGTATATATTACACTTTTGTCGACATAAGTTCAGCTCGCCTTGAGGAAAAAACATTCTCCATCTCCCCCAGGGCGTGACATTCGTCTATCTTGGTATCGAAACGGAACAGGACACCGAAATCACCGTAGAGAAGTGAGTGCATAGCCTTAACCATCTCTTTGAGAAGATCAAGACTCAGCTGCATGTCAAGATGTCGGCTCCACAATGACAAAAAACGAATGCTTTTGCCATGTTCTGCGAGTAGCGCGACCCACGTTGCAAGGTTTTCGGTATCCTCCATCTCAATGTCTGACAAACTGAGGTAGTTCAAATGTTGTACGACCAAGGAAGGAATGGCACTGGCTGTGTTCAATGCCGTTCCATTGCAGCTCAGCCAAGAAAGATTGGAGGTGGACAATGGTACGAGCACAGAAAACAAACTGGTAGAGTCAAGCTTCGTGTTTCCATCCAGGTTCAACTTTGTTATATCCTTACACAAATTCATGAAAGACCCGATATGAGGGCCATCCTCACTCCTAAAATGATTACGCGCCAAGTCGAGCACGCGTAGGGCGCATGAACGGCTACCAATGGCCGCAACTAATCTCATTAAGTGATCACCATTCAGCCCGACGTTACGCAAGTGTAGTGAAGTGAGTCTTGTGATAACGTTTGCGAGTGCGCAGATTTCCTCTCCCCATAATGAGTCGTCTAGATCGTTGTTGCTAAGATTCAAAATATCCAGAGAACCAGACTGTTCAATTGAGCACAGCAAAGTGAGTAAAGAGTTCTCTCGTGCCCCAACCCTGCGTGAAAACCCTTGAGGGTTGCCTTCAAGATTTAATGCAGAAAGTACCTTGTTTTCTCGAATGACACATGCTAAGTGGATAATGCTTTCTCGTTGTAACTGGCAGTAGCCAAGATCAATATTCGTTAAGCTTTGATTGATTCGCAACATATCCACAAATGCCATAAACCCTGATCCTACTAACGAATCGCACCCCTCAGTTGTTGAAGCATTTTGAATCTCAGCGTTTGTGGCAAACTGGGCGGATCGCCTTGGTGGCCTGTCGATCGCGTTATTGCGCAAAATTAGGGTTGTCAATACCTTATTATGAACCAAAGAAGAGGCAATAGCCTTGAGCCCGTTGCTGCTGATACCACAACTTGACACATCAAGGAACTTTATGGAATTCATACCAGACTTGGTTGGTAAAACAGGAATAGTAATATTCGAAACTTCCATTTCCCAGTCAAAATCCTCTGCAAGCTCATCCTCAAGCATTTCCAAATCTCTGCTTTCCTCATTGCTGAGTGTGTCTTCCGCATTGAGCATAACCACCTCCAGAGCATTATTATCATTGTTGTCATTGTCGTCATTCATTTTGACTTCTTCGTCAGTCTTCTCAGCTAACGGAGGAAGCAGCAGCGCGCTTTTTAAACGTGTAAACTCATTCATCAAATGTCGGCGCTCCGCAAACTCGCTAACCAACGTTGATTTTCTGCTCTTTTGGAGGTCCTGCAGGCTTGCTAGAAATTTTTCCTTCAACTTATCCTGAATACTATCCATTTCTTCATCTAATAATGTAATTTCGTCTTTGAGTATTCGTTTAATCGCTCTAGCGCCGCGATCACCGAAGTTATTGCCACGCAAATTTAGGCAGTTTAAGCGAGACCAGCCACTTCTCAGTTTGCAATATGCTTCAATTTTCTGCTGCTTTTCAGTTTCCAAAATTGCATAAAGTCGCCTCAGCTCGTCGAGAAATTGTCTCAAAGAATTGGAATAGTCTATGATAATCTGTTGCCGACCAGATTCTTCTTGTGCAAAAAATAATCGTTGTTCATGTACGATTTTTTTCTTCATGTACGCAAGTTTTTCAGTAGCTTTTCTTTGGTTGGAAACGCCGTCACTGTCCTCCAGACTATCGCCATCCTCGCTGATTTGTGAATTATCCCCTTCCTCGCCCTCTTCCTCTTCCTCCTCCTGCTCGTCTTCCTCCTCAACCCCCTCGTCCTTCATCTCGATATCATCCTCACTGGATAAATCCTCTTCGTCTTGTTGCTCTTCTAAAGCAAAGCTGAGGCTTTCACTGTCACTTTCAACATTTAATACCTGCGGGAAAAGGTATGAAAAAGGCAACAACAAGTCCTCCTCATTCACCTTGGTGTCATCTTTCTCCGCAGGAGCGATGCTCTCAGGGGAAAGTATAGTATCAGACTCATACAAAGCGGTCACTATATTCTCAATATCTTCAGAAGTGAAATTGTTATACGACAGGTTCAGTGAGCGAAGGAACTTGTTGTATTTGAGAAGATTCGACAAAGACAAAAAAAATTCATTGTCATCAATCTCATCATGCACCCCTCCGAAATCATTCCCTTCTAGAGAAAGATGTTCGATAAAAGTATCCTTCAATGTGTTTAAAAGTTCAGGCACTTGATCTTTCAGTGAACATCTTTCAATAGAAACGCTGGTCAAATGTTTCAAATCGCTGCAAAAGGAAACAATATTATCACTGTCAAACCGCAGTCCCGAAAAAAAAAGAAGCTGGGCGTTGGAAATTAAATGACTGTGGCACTTCAAATAAGGATAGAGTTCCTCAAAAGAAATGCTTCGGGAAAAGGAAGGAAAAAATAGCAGGTTTTGGATAGCCGAATCAGACTTTTCAAAGCTATCCATATGGCCAAGGGAAACCAAAAAGTTGAGGAACTGATCAGCGGGCAATGAAATCGAGGTGATAGAACAGGGAACCTTAACAAACGGTGTCCAAAAGGCTCCATTATAGTTGGACAGCACATCCTCAGGAAGAAAGGATTTTGAGATTTCAAAGACAGAGCAATCTGAATTCTGAGGCCAATACGACTTGTTTACTCTAGAGGCAACAGACGCCATACTGAACCGAGATGACCATGGTTTTAGAAGCCTAGAAATCTGAGATGCTAGTTGAATTGCAGACTTGTCCATATTAGCCGCAACCGCACTGTTTTCTCGGCAAAAGGTTACCCTATTAATTGAGCTTTGTGTTACTTCATGTCCTGAACTACTACATGTTTTAAATATGGCTGAATCAGCCACACCACTTGGACACCATTCTCGCAGCATTTTTTTAGAAGTACTCTAAGGTAAAAAATAGCTATCCTATATATATATATATATATATATGGAAAAAAGTACGGATACAATAAATAAAGAAGGGTATTAATAAATAATAATTTTTAAAAAAACATTACGAAGAAGGTGAAAAATAAATATGCATGAATTGTATGATTAAAAAAAAAACTCTACAGATCTTCAGTATCACGCTTTCGCTTCTTCTTTGAGCGAAGAAGCATTTTTAATGTTTCTTGTTGCTTGTCTGAAGCGGAGGGATCAAGCACTAACGGCACAACTATTGAAGAGACACCACATAATGGACACAAACGCTCATGTTCAGTGTTACCATCAAGAACAGGCAAAGAACACATAGCAAGGACGTGTCCACAGGCCCAAAACCCCACGAACAAATGGTTTCCAGATTGTGCTAAAAAATCGGTCAAAGGGCATCGAATTTCCCCTTTTGAATTCACTTCGTTTGTGATTTCTCTCACATCCGAAATTTTTTTTATGTGGTGAAAGTGCTCTCGAGTGTTTTCAATTGAAACTTTGTTTCGTTTCCTATCCAATAAGTGTTCAACAATAGATTGCATTGAGTAAATTCTACCTCCCAAATCGAATGCGGCAGGAAACTGAAGGGGCTTCAACGCAAGTGCACAGTGAGTCCATCTTTCAGATTTCCACTGCTTGTCTGTGTATTTTTCACTTTCGTCATCAACATTAATATTGGATTCATTCTCATAAAGCTTCGTCTTGTGTAAAAGACTTCGCTTATTAGTCAAGGCTTGCCCATCGCCACCCATTATTTGTCAACGATAGGAAGGCAAATAAAAACTAGTCAGAAGCATTGGAAAAAAGATAGAGTTATAATGCGATAAGTATAGTTTTAAAAAAGATACATCAGGACAAAATCCTTGGAAGACCTTGAAGGCTTCATCTTACCGATTCGAATGCATTTATTGATGGATACTGTACATAAACAATCACAAATTTTTCATCTAGCATTTAGTAATAAGCACGCTTTTCATTGGGGGTGGGCTAAAATCATAAAAGATAGTTACTTTACTTACCATTTCAGAAGCTTCTGATGATTTTGGTAACCCGAAAAGGTCTCTGATTGTAATACGCATGTCACGTATTATGTTCAAGGGTTCAACCTTTGACTTCCACATCCTTATATCAACGGGAGTACCACCATGACGTGCACGAATTTTTTCTCGTACGTGATAAAGTTGCGTGCTGTGGAATAATTCTAATTCGCAGTCAAATAGATTATTGCCGACCATTTTTTGAGCTACTACAACCTTCGACATGAATTTTAGCAGATCTTGAAATAGACATGGAGACTAAAATACTGAAAGAGAGAATCGATATACATATCAACCAAACAGTAAACTCGAAACGTAAATAGTGAAATGGGTATCAGACAGTATTAAAAATCTATAGTGGTAAAAAAAATGAGGAGCTCAAAAACGTTAATGTTTCTGACACGTCCGAAATATTTTTTCCTGCAACAAATAAAATTTATATGCAAATATATAAATAAATACATAAATATATATCTATATAAATATATATATATATATAGATATATAGATATTTATATATATATTATATAAATATATATCATGAGCTTATGATTAAGTACACTATACTGAATTTTTTTGCTCAAGGTTGCTTATTCGCTCCTCAAGCATGTTCAAGCGCGTTACGAGTCTTTCTTCTAATTGATTGATGAGTTTACTGACATAACTAAGACACATTCCAAATGAGGGTTGCTCCGGTTGAGAAAGTGAACAACTCGATCCCGATTCTGAATCCATAGTTAATAAACGTGACGATGGAATATCGGAAGAAGAAATTGCCTCTCTTTCGGACAAATTCGAATTCAATAGGGGTAGTGGCTCTGGAACTACTATGGGATCCCAAATAGTTCTTAAAAGAATGAGTGAATTGACTTCACTACGATAAATAGTCAAACGCCATCTCTCGTGAGTTCCATTTTTTTGGCATTCTTCACTACAATAAAAGGTAAAACGTCTGAATGAACGACTTTCATGGAATAAAATTTTCCCTTTATCATGGTTAGTAACCCAAGCATGTCCTAAAAGCATGTTATTCGGATTCACCATCCACTCGGCTCTAGTGATATATGCCATACCATTCCAAGCGTCAGTTGGATGCTGTGTAAAAAGTCCCATGTAACATTTTTGAAGTTCAGTGTTTTGAGTCTCCAAGTGGAGCAACAAATATAGCAGATCACGGTCACTAATGAGGTTAGAACCCCCCCAATATGGGGTTTCACAATCCGTGTTACCTTCTTGAGGTGAGACACGTTTTGGAAATCGGCAACGCTTTCCAGAATAATGCATTACCGACTCACCTTCACTAGAACACAAAGCTAAGTTACTCTTAGGCAATGTTTGGCCATCACTTGGCTCAGGTCCGTACTTACTAACTAGAATAGCAAATAGCTGTTCTTCTTCACCTCGGTATTTAAGTAAGTATTTTGTAACCAAATGAAGTTTTTCTGGGTTATATAGTTCATAAAACCTGTACAAGCGTTGATAGTACCTCCCGTCAATGTCCTCCCCAATGACATTGTTATCCTGTGCCATGCCAGCAGGAGACAATTCATCTGAATTACATTCCCTTTTGTATAAAATATTTTTTACCGAATAGCTATTGTTAGAATCGGTTGTATTGTGTAATGGCATCTTGCTTTCATTTTTTAAAGTCGATGAGGAAATATCAACATTATGTGATGAATTGTTCATTCCCCCTAAGAGCTTGTTGTTAATCTTTATACGACAGAAAAAATGATGAGAAAGACAAAAATGGGGAAACCTCTAAAGCCTACTAATAGCCAATCTATTTATAAATATATATGAACTGAATGTTTCAGATAGTAGATTTTTAGTACCAAAAGTAATAAATAAAAACGTTCGTTTTCGTGTAACAAATTAATTTCTATATTTTCAGGAAACACACACAAAAAAACAGAAACAGGCTGAAAAAAAGTGCAACTAGACAGGGACAAGCGGTCATCAGAGTGTACGTAGAGAAATTAATTGTAATAATTTGAAAAAAAAGAAATTTATAAAAGTTAAGAAGAAAAATTGAAGAAATACCTTCAACGATGCTTGCCAGACAGATAGATGCCAACATAACCAAACGGAGCAAACACTTAGCTAACGCCAGCCGAAGCATCAAAGGAAATTTGGCATGATTCCCATGACACCCCCCTCATTATGATAACTAAATAATATAGGAAACAGACGGGGCAGCCGCCAACATCTCGAAAAATGGAGCATGCTGAAGATTAAAGAACCACATAAGGAAGGGGGGGGGGGGGGCACCATTTCAACAAGACCAAGCACACCGCCCGCACAAATGCTAAATAGATCCAAAAGGAGTATTACCCAGAAACGTAGTACACAAAAACCTGTAACTTAAATCCTCGGAGGCCATAAGCCTGTAAAACTCCTTTTGGATAAACCTTTTCGCGTATTATTAGGACTTTTCGGCCCTAGTGGTCTCCTGCATTTAATCCAAAAAGAAGCGTTGGCTTTCCCTTGTCATCTTTTGTAAACGACCCTTGTTTTGTTTAACAAAACGCTCTTCCACAATCTCCCTTTATCCTTTGTAAAGGGTCTTTGTTTTTAATGAGGAAAATGCGCAATTAGAATGGCTATAAAAACTTGAGGGGAGGGGGGGGNGGNGATGCGGAGTTGTAGACCGTCCGTCGT